GCTTATTAGCGCTTTCTTTAATGTTAACTTCTTTCTTTTAAAGGAATTTCTTAAAATTTTAAATAATAATTAACTTTTTAAATATTATTATATTTTAAAAAGCAAAGTCTTTTATAAAGCATTAAAATAAATTATTATTTATATTTTAGCATTTTATTATTTCCTTTATAAACTTAAGAATAATAATATTTATTTAATTACTTATGCTATTTATTTTTATTATTAATTTATCTTAATAGCTAAAATTAACTTATTAACTTTAAAACTTTTCATTAAGGTTAAAGAGTAATTAAAGTTCTTATATAAAAGCATTATTAATATTTAAGGGTATTTCCTTAATATTACTTTTAAATTTAGCTATCTTGCTAAGCTATTAAAATATTTAGGTAATTTATATATAAGGGAAAAGAAAAAGAGTAATTAAGGAGATATAATAAGGTTATTTTAAAGCATAAAAAGAAAGTATTAATTATATAATAAAAGAATGTTTATTAAAGAATGTTTATTAACTTAAGTAAATATAAGTTATTATTTATATTAAAATAAAGTAACTATAAGTACTTTTAGCATTAATTATATAATAAAACGCGTTATATAGTTAATAAATCTAAGGTATTACTAAAAACTTATTAATTAATAAGTTAAATCTTTATAATAGGAAGGTTAAGGCATTATTAATCTCTTTTTATTAATTTTAATTATAACATAATTATTAGCACTTAATTAAGTAAGGTTTTATTATTAATAATTACTTATATTTATAATATTAATATTAATTATTTAGCATAAATATCGCAATTTAATTATAATAATTCCCATTACTAATAATTACTGCTTAATTAATAGCAATATAAATTTATTGCTTATTTACTTTACTATTTATAATTACCTATAAGTAATTATTAATTAATATTAATTAAGTTAATATATATTAGTTAATAGCAAATTAGTTATATTTAAATTAGCTATATAAAAGGAAAAAGGGTTGCAGCCATAAACTATAAAACCTTCCTTTAGCTATAAACTATCTAAGGGTGGTTACATGTTACTATACATAACCCTTGCCTGCCGGTACTTTAATGCTAATTACCCATAATGCCTATTATGCCCAATGCTGCTATCCCCCTATAGCACGTCCATAACTACATATATATTATTTTTATATTAATAATTTTATATATATATATATATATATATAAATATTTTAAACTTATATTTTTCTTTAAATTATTATTTAATTAATATAAATATTTTATTTTTTAAGAAGTTATAATAAGTTAAGTATTTTATAATTATTATTTTAATAAATTAAATATAAATATTTAAATATAAGTATATTTAAGTAATTTAAATATTTAAATAACTTAAATTACTTAATTAAATTATTTAATTATTAATATTTTAAAATATTTAATTATTATTATTATTTTAATAGCTTTTTCTTTTTATTATAAAGTTAATTAAGGCATTTAAGGTATAAATTAAGCTTAAATTAATAATAATTATTATTATTATATTTCTTAGCAAGAAAAAATTATTATTATAAAAAAGGTTATTATTATAAGGCTTATATTAAGGGCATTATTAATTAAAAAGGTTATAATTAATAAAAAAAAAGGTTGTTTTATAATAATTAACTTTATTTTAATTAATTTAAGCTTTTTCTTTTTAAAAAGCTTTTATTAATATTTATATGCTTTTAATTATAAATAAAAAGTTATTTTTATAAATTTCTCTTAAAATTATTTAAATATATATAATTAATTATTTTTATTATTAATTAATAAAATAATTAATGTTTTAATTATTAATATATAATTATACTTTATATAAACTTTATAATAATAAAATATTTATTTAAACTTATAAAAAAGTTATTAATTAATTTTTTAAAAGCATTTCTTTATTTATTTATAAAACTTATATTAAAAGGTTTAAAAAAAATTAATTATAAGCTAAATATTCCTTATAAATATTTAATATATTAATAACTTTTTTTTATTAAAGAAAAAGGTTATTATTTATATAAAAATTATTATTATTAAGGTAAATTTTATAATAATTAATTATAAAATAAATAAAAAAGAAAAAAATATTTTTATATTATATTTATAAATTAATAATTAGCTTTTAAATTATATATATATAAATAATAATGCTTAAATATTATTATTATTTAATAAATTAATTTTTATTAGCTTTAAAATAATTTATATTTAAGATTTTATTTTTAAAAAGCATTAATAAAAAAAATAAGGAAAGTATTATAAAAAGGAAAGTTATGCTTATTAAATAAATAAATTAACTTTTATAAAAAAAATAAATGTTTTAAAAGTTAAATTAAGTTATTTATATAATTAAATTAATAATAACTTTTAATTAATTTCTTTAATAATTTTAAGTTAATTAAGTAAATAAAAAGGTTATATTAATTATTTATTTATTAATACTTTAAAGCCTTTTATTATAAGTTAACCTTAAGTTATTTATTATAAGGTGCTTAAATAAAGTTTATATTTAAAGTATAAAAGAAGAAATCCGCTTTTTATTTATATTTATATTAAAGCTTATTTTTATAAAGCTAAAGCCCGTTAATTAACTATAATAAGCAAAGCTTAAATTATAATATATCCTTTTTTTTAAATCTTTATAATAAGCCTTAAAGGGTAGCTATATAATAAAAAGTAAAGAATATTATAATTTAATTATAAATTAAATATTACTTTTTATTTAGCTATTTAATTATACCTTAGCGCTTTTTAAATATATTAAAAGCTTAACTTATTTTTTATAGTTAATATAATTTTATTCTTTATAATTTAATATATTAATTAAAGCAAGTTAATAAAAGATAATTATTTAAATATAAGTTAATAGCTAAATTAATAATATTCTTATAATCTTTTAATTTAAGCCTTTTATATAAGCTTCCTTACTTAAAACCTTAAAACTATATATTTATTATATAATTCGCAATTAATTAACGCTTAATTATAAGTAATTTACTTTATTAATAAGAAATTTTTAAATTTTAAGCATTTTATAATGCTAAATTAGCTAATATATAGCTAGCTTGTTTTAAGCTTAAGTTAGCATTAAATTAACAAGCTTTAAGCCTTACCTTATAAAAAGATTTTATACCCTTTTAAATAAACTTCTTTCTTTTATTAACCTTAATTAATAAAAGCTATACCCTTATCTTTTTATAATAATTAAGATAATTATGCTTATGATAATTAAGTTAATTATATATAAAATACTTAACTTTACTTATTAAAATTATTATAATATTAATATTTATTATTTTATTATTTTAAGGTTAAGTATTATTCTTTTTTATTATAATATTAAAAATACTTTTATATTATTATAAAGTAAAGTAAAAAGCTTTAAATATATTTAGCTACTTTTTATAATTAAGCTAAGCTTTTATTATAAAGGTTAAGTTATTAATTATTAATAATATTTTATATTTATTTAATTAATTTTAAACCTTTATTATATAAGCTAATTAATTAAATTAAATAAGAAATTTTATTATCTTTTTTTTATAATATTATTATAATGCAATTAATTTAAGCTTAGCATACCTTTATTTAAAAGGGTTTTTAAATATAAAGTAAACTTTTTTTAAAAAGCTTTTTAGCTATCCCTTAAATATTTTTATAAAATTAATATAAGGTAAAAATTAATTATAAAAAGTTTTTAATTAATTAAATATATATAAAAATTAAGCCCATTTAATATTAATTACCTTTTTATTTATTATAAACTTAATTCTTATTTTTATTAATTAAATTGCTAAGTATTCTTAAAATAAAAGGTTTTTAAAATAAAAAAGGGCTTAATAAATTATTATTATTCTTTTTAAATTTCTTTATATTAAGTTTTATATAATTATATTATAAGTTTATAATATAAGAAAACTTTAAATATATATTATAAGCTAACCTTGGGTTATTTATTATAAGGTGCTTAAATAAGGTTTATATTTAAAGTGCAAAGGAAAAGATTCGCTCCCCATTTATACTTGCGCTAAAGCTTATTCTTATAAGGATAAAGCTTATTAATTAATTATTATAAGTATAAGCTTAAACTATAATATAAATAATTTAATATTATAAATAAATATATAATTATAATAAATAAGCTTTTGCTTATTAAAAATTATTAAAATAAGCTTTTTATTAATTTAAGTAAAATATAATTATTTTAAGCTAAGGTTAATAATATATATATTTTTTTATATAATAAGCTTAAATTAACTTTATTATTTTTAATTATTTTAAAAGTATATATAAAATAAAAATATAATAACCTTTCTTTTATTAAATTAAATATATGGTGATATTAATAAGGTTGTCCTTAAGAATTAAGGTGCGTAATCCGCGTTGCCAGCCAAATTTTGGTCCGGGAGGGGAGAGCTAACCTAACCAACAGGGGGGGGGGACCAGCTCGTTTGCCACACACAGGAGCGTCCGTCTACGCAGCAGACTAGCCCCCAACCACGCACAGGGCAAACGGCTCGTGGCTTCCTGGCACACATGCACTGGATGACATGGGTAGAAAGAGACGGGGAAGACCAGCACATCAAAGCAGGCATCAGAATATCAAGTTTCGCTCACTGTCCTGACTCATAAGGAACCATGCCACTGCAGGTGATCCCACCGTAGAATATCTCATCCAAGGCCATGTCATGCATGCTGCTTGAAAAGGGGTGATACCGGCGGCAACTCCAACACACACCAGAGGCCATTTACACGTACTTGCAGGTGCCGACCTCATTGCACGGCACGCACGGGCTGTATACACACCAGCACGCCGGGCTTCGAGTCGGCCCTCTGAATTGGGAGCTGCACAGGTATGCGCAGGGCGGCGGGTGGGCAACGCGCGGCACATTGGGCACCCGGGGTCCCTTTGAAGCAATCATCAAAGCGCCTCTCATCCCACGCCTTGGTTCCAAGACGGCTTGGCTCAGCTGCTGCTCCTCCATCCCGCGTCTAAGCCCCCTCCACCGGCTGGTCTTGATCTCGGTCCACCTGGGCAAGCGGCCAGACCATGAAGTGCTGCCAGTCAGGGCCGAGATATCGCGCAATGGTCCGCACCAGTATCTGGCCTACATTCGCATAGGTCCAGAAATGCCTGTGTTGGTGCATGAGAACGCCGTAGTATGCCAGCATCAACAGCGCCTCGGTGGTCTTGTTGCACAGCAGGTCCAGCACCGCCTCGTGTGCGAGACACGGCCACGCGTGCACCAGTGTCAAGCTGTGCATCCCGCGGCCCTCGTCCTCCCCGGGGCTGTGGCCCTTGCGCGAGTCCGGGCCCGAAGGGCTGAAGATCCACTGCAGCCTGTCGGTGGCCTCGAGACAGAGCTGCTTCTGCTCCCGGTCCAATGCCCGGCTGATGGAGATGACGGATCGCAGCTCCGACGTCTGCGAGCCCCCGCTCGACCTGTGATCCGCAATGCCGGCGCTGGCAGTGAAGATGCTTCTCAGCTTGGACTGGAGGAGGGCCTGCCACGCCTCCTTGGCGATCAACACAACGCCGCGGTAGACTTTGATGTATTCCAGGAAGCGGTTGAGCGGCTCAAACTTGGACTTGTCCTCGTCGCAGTTCAGCGTGGTCTCGTAGAGGACCTGGAGACTTGTGAGCTGGCCGAAGACGAGCAGGCTCACGCAGTTCTCGGGGGTGACCCGGGGCCGCTGCTGGTTGAATATGCTCAGGGCGTGGGTGTGGAAGTGCACGGCCTGGTGATGGTAGTATGCACTCTGCGCCGGGCGGATGTGCGACAGGTGGAGGGCGGCGACGGCCAGCAGGGCGTTCATGAGGCAGGGCGAGGAGAAGGCAGCCTCCAGCACACCCGAGAGGATCTTGCCGTCGTTGCTGGGCAGGGGCAGCGGGAGCTGCTGGCTGCACACGTGGTGGAAGAGCTCCAGCTGCGCCATGTTGGCGCACGGCACGCTGAGCACCGGCGACGCCGGCGAAGGTGACGGGGTGCGCCGCTGTGCCTGTCCCGGCCCCAGCAGGTGTGGCGAGGGCGTGAGTGAAGCCGAGCTCAGCGGCAGCGGCGAGCGTGATGCAGACGCGCGAGCCGAGCCCGTCCTGGAACCGGCACCGGCGCCGGCACCGGACGCGTCGTCATCTCCGGCGGCCCCCAGGTGTCCCGCACGGTCTGCTTGACCAGGTAACGAGGCCGGGCCCAGCGCGTAGACACAGGATAGCTTCTTCACAGAACATCCCGCACACACCGGCCTCGTTTCGTCACACCGAGGGGCCAGGTCAGCACCGCCCCCGAAACTCTCACTCGATCAAATGGCCCGGCCCGAGCACGTGGACAGACATACCTTTATGTGACGGCGCTTACACTCTCGACAGCCACCCCGGGATTTCCTATGAGTCCTTCGTGAAGCCATCAAGCGAGAGTCAGTGGCATGAGTGTGGGTCAACATGGCTCAGTATGAATACCGTAACATGGGGAAGCCCCTGGTCTAGGCACTAATGCATACTTGGTTTAATTCAAAAACAATTTCGCTTAAATAGATAACCGTACAACTAAACAGTTAAATAACTACCTTTTGAGAAACTAATACAGATACACCAAAAGTTAATCAAGGATTAATCTTATTTTGTAATCTTTTTCTTTACATAAAAGAAACCCTTGTTTAATTACATAATTTGGGATGTACAATTTATAATTACTTCTCAAGTACCAGCCCCAGGAACTGTTTTCATGTTGCAATTATGATAAATTAATAACCTATTTACAGGGCTATTCCTTGCGTATGAATGAATCAGATGCGCGGACTCGTTGAGCCCATTCCCTGGCGGAATCATTAGCAGGGCTTGACCAGAGCATTGCGGCAGGAATCAACTTACGTCCAACTGCCATCGTAGACCTTGCGCGTTTCAGGGCTCCCGTAGCCGGCCTCGTCCAGGGCCGTCTCGATTATCACGGCGGTGACACCAGTCCCGCAACTAGAGATGATGGGCTTGCCCGGGTCAACACCCTTGGCGCCGAACAGGTGCTGTAGCTGCTCCTTGGGCAGGAAGGCCTTGGTCTTGGGGTCGAGGACGTCGTTGAAGGGGATGTTGACGGAGCCGGGGATGTGTCCGGACGACAGACCGGGTCTTGGCTCCGGGTCCCTCCCAGTCCAGCGTCCGCTGCTCCTGGCGTCGATGATCTGCACGCCCTCTGCACCCTCCTTGTTGTAGTCCAGGGCCACCTCCCTGACGTCCTCATAGCTGGCAACCTTGTCCGAGTCGACCTCGGGGATGGGGTAGGGGTGACACTCGACATTGTACAGCTCGCCGCTCTCGGTGGGAAGTCCCTCGTCTACCCAGAGGCGGAAGTTGTTCAGGAGGTGGACCTTGGGGTGGCCAAAGACCTTCAGGGTCCAGCCGACCCTTGGGGCGCTGAATATGCCCAGCTCCTTGGTGTCGTAGACGACGACGGTGTCCTCGCGGCGGATGCCCAGCTCGCTCATTGCTGCGGCAAAAGTCTTGGGTGCGGGAAGCATGTGGGGGTACTCGGAGTGCTTGTCGATGACCTTGTCGAGGTCAAAGAAGCGAGCCTTTGGGATGCGCTGCTGGCGGAAGGCCTGGATACCGGTGCGGCGGTCGGGGTCGTTTGGCATGAACCATGCTGCGCAGAGGGGGATGATGCGTGGGTCGGTACTGATCGGGGAGGGAGGGTTCTTCTTGAGGGCCTCGCTGAGCTCGCCGGGGGTCACGAGATACGAGGACAGGGAGCGGCGGGGAGCAAAAGCTGCGGCAATGCTGGTGAAGGCGGACGGTCGGGAAGGCGATCGGGCGGCGGCTCTGGGGAAGGGCCGGAGGACGGCGATGATGGCCATTTTTGGTTTCGCTAGGTGCAAAGCCCCACGGGGAGGATTGAAGCGTCTCGTCGGACCAGGCGAGTTGGGGCAATGAGTGCCGGGGTCAAGGTTGAGGTTGAGGTCAAGGTTGAGAGCAGTTCGGGACCGAGGACGGAAGGCGGAGTTGAGTACGGAGGAAGAGCCGGGTTGATGTCGTGATTTGACACCGGCACCCAGGGACCGTACGTACCAGTTTTTGGCAATAGGGATTGGTTGGTGGGCAAGCCTCAGAGAAGCACGGGGTGTGACGGGGACGGGGACGGAGGAGATGAAAGGAAGAAGAAAAGAGGGCAGCTGCCCGTCGTCTCCACCGGCAGCCACCTCCAACTTCAAGGCGACCCGGCGCTTCCCTTGGCGTTTGCGGAGGAGGACGGGGATGCTACCACGAAACCTACGAGGCAGATGGTGTCATTGGGCTGCGTGCTAGAGCTGTCTTTGTGAAGCTTCCAGGACAGGGCGGATGGAGCTGGGGACTGGGACTGGGGGACAGCCCTCAGACCATCATCACGAGGAACCCGAGGACCAAGGGGAAAAGGAAGCAAGGAGCGAGGTTGACGAGTGATTGTGGTTGGTGGTTGGTGGTAGTCTGGTAGGTAGAAATCTCCCGCCACAGGCCAGCAACAAACAGCACTCACCTACTGGGAGCTTGGGCCATCTTGCAATTTGTATATGCACCCACGGCTGCATCAACAAACAAGAGACCAATTCATGTGATTGTGGATATCACCACTACCAATACCAACCAGCAAACCCTTTGATGCCCACATTACCAGCACCAGCCGGACCCTGATCTGTACTCGGCCGTACACACCTACCAGCTTTGAGTCTAGTCCTTGGCCGTTTCTCTGCTTGTGTCTTTGCAAGCATTGGCTCACCTGTGCCCCCTCATGAGACCGCCGCCATCAACATCATGAAGGTCAAGATCAAGAAGTGGGCAGGTGTGGCAACATGGCGCTGGGACATCCCAGAAGACGATGTTTGTGGCATCTGTCAGATCCATTTTGACGGCTCCTGCCCATCGTGTCGATTTCCTGGGGATGACTGCGAGCTCTGTCAGCCTGCCTGCCTCCAATGCATCTCCCGCCGGACAGCATGCTAAACATCTCTGCAGTATCTGGCAAATGTGGCCACAACTTCCACAAACACTGCATTTCCCAGTGGATCAGGCAGGATTCAGCCAGGGGACAGTGCCCCATGTGCCGTCAAAGTGAGTCTCGCCCGGTCTCGCCTCTCCCTGCCCCAAGAATCGTGCTGCAAGATCCTGCTCTTGTCGGCCCTGCTGACCTACCTCCTCCTTAAGGGTTCGAGATAAAAGAGCCCGCCGAAAGTAGGGGAACCCCAGGGCCATAGGGAAACCATTCCTCTGGTTCACCGTCGCCATACACACCTTGGCCTCGGGCTGCCCGCCAATGACAACGGGTAGACAGATGTTGTCTGACAGTCACGGCAAGGGGCAAGGAGATGCGTCGATTTGTTCACAGAGATGCAACCACTGACATTGCCGCCATGATGCGCCTGCGACACTACATTTACTACAACTAGCCATATCTGTGGGAAGCAGACTGCACCCAGGTGGACGGTTCAAGTCCCAGAAGTTGTCTGATTGGTGGCGCGGCTGCAAGACACAGATGAATTCCATCACTTCTGAGATGTAACAGAGTGCATGCAGCTTTGTTGTGGACAGCCGGGGACAGCAGCACAATTCCTCTCATCACACTCCAGGCCTACTCTCTCTATCCCATCCTGGCAACTGCAAATTGGCTTGTACATAGGGAGCGGGAGAACAGGGCCCAGTCTACCACACTGCCGCCTGTCACATGCCACCCCAACTATACAAAGAATTCGGAGATTCGCCCATAATCCTAACTGACATGCCTTAATTTTATGCCTAGGGCTAATTAGGTGTGTGGGTATTAGGTATGGGTGCTGGGTCTGGGTGCTGGGTGTGGGTGCTGGGTGATGTGCTCTGATGTACCAGTGTACCCTCAGTTTTTGCAGGTGCGAGTCTCCGTAGTCATACATGTAAGATCAATGGTATGATGCCTTTATTACTGATAACCGGGAGCAGCCTGTCAGGCCCCCCCTGGGAGAGAGCCCCCCAGAAACCCCAACCCAGCCCAACCCACACCATCTCCAAAGCCATGCGGGACCACTGTGACGTCGTCTACCTACCTAGCCACGGTTGTGCCTAGGACTGTTCCGTGTCTATACGCTCCAGACAGGCCGCCTGTGGCAGCTTGCTCGTCTACTTCCCGCTGACACACTAACACACAACCCGTAGGGCCGGCCGGCTTCTTAATCTGTCCTGATTTCTTGTCGACATGTTGTAGGGTCGATGCTGCCTATTAGCACGGCTCCAACATGCAAACACACCCTGCTTCAGCAGCCTCTCCTCCGTGCCAGCGCCAGTGCCAGTTCATCAACGAAACCAGCCGCCCCCACTCGTCACCGAAATCGTCACCGTCGCCGTCGCTACATCGGACCGACCTCGACCACGACATCGGCCCATCATGACCGGCCCCGATCCACTACCCGACCAACATCCTCCTCCCAGTTCTATCACCGAACACCACGTCTCTGGCGGCGGACAAGCCCAACAGCTGCCTCCCCTCCGAGAGCAACCACTGCAGCATCAGCTTCCATTCCAACCCCTTTTCACCCTTGTCACCGACAGCACAACCCACGCCACGCATCATCCGCAAGTACACTATGTCTTCTCCGACGATGACCCTGAAATCCTCACTGAGGCCCTCGCGCGGCACGGTCACCAATCTTCCCCCGACGCATCTTCCAATAGGGCTGCGCTGCCTCAGGCCCCCCCCAATGAGCGTGCTATAGTACTGGACCTCGTGCCAAAGTCCGCCGACAACAGCCACTCCACATCATCGACCATGGGCTACGACGTCGCTTGGGCGTCATCTTTGTCGTCCAACTGGGCTGTTGTCACCGCCAAAACCAGCGCCATGACGGAGGAGAACAACAACAACGCCACCAGCCTGGATGACGAGACCGGGGCCGGGCAGCGCCTGGTACTCCGCATCGAAGGTGTCGGCGACAATGCTGTTCCAGCCACATCCACAACATCGCAAATACCCGGCACACGTGCGAGAGGCCCCTCTCTCCACGAGCGAGATCTGCGCATGTCGGCCTCCTCGCCTTCGGTGGCCGCTCAGGACAAGGCCCGGGAGGACTACGGAGCCATTGTCGACGAGTTCGACAAGAGGATGGGCATCCTGCGGAAGGTGGTGGACGCCGGGCTCGAGAGGCAACAGAGTGCGCCGGGACCTCGTGCCCCTGACGACGAGTTGCCTGCTGGTGCGCTACCACCGAATTATGGGCAGGAACAGTGAGCTTCGCAGCAAGGCGACCAGAGGCGATCCGCCAATTGAGACGGGGGGGAATATCTCCCCGAGCTCTTCTCGAGAGCTCCCAGCTCGCATCGGTCGACTTTCACCTGATCTTGAGGATGCGCTTCAGGCGCTCTACGTGTGTACCGGCTGTCCTTAGTGGCAGGTCTGACACGAAAAGCCCCGGTAGAAATACACCACCTTTATGGCATGTATGTGTGAGGGCAGCGGCAACCCGGCCACGAGCCGTGTTGGGAGAGGCGGAGAGGTCGCGTCGCAGCAGTCGGGGCGGGCGCGTGTAATCGGGAGTTGACTTCCACGGGCAGAGCACGACAACCCGATCGCTCCGCAATACCATCTCCAGCGCCACATTTTTGATGCTACTCGAGTGCATTCTCATAAAGGTAGTATCAAGAAAGGTCAATTAAACGCCAGTATTGTAATGCGAAAAAGGTTAAGTCCAGGCCCCAAGAACGGATCTCCATCCCCCACCCCAAGAGTGTATCATCTAATAAGTGCAGCTTGTCCCAGCAGTAATTCGAAGCGACCGACTTTGGTATATAAACAACTCTGTTTTGAGTGCCAACAAACATGCAATTCCCAGGGTCTTCTGCCAGCATCAAGCCATATGGCATCAACCCGTATTCTCGTAAGGCTGGAATAGAACTCGCGCATTCCATGCGGGTGTAGTGTGTATTCACAGGCTTAGGGTCCTCGCAGTCATGGCCCAATTCCATTTCTGCCACCAGTACTACTCCCCAGGTACTGCTTCAATACTGCGTCAGCGTTTTTCCGGCGATGAACGCGCAGACTGTAGCTCCGCACGCGTCTCAGTTGCGACGTAACCTCGGTTGCGAGTCCTCTTCAATGTATCCGATTGGGACTAGTCGACCTCGTTGTAGTTGGTACGCTTGAAGTCCATGCTGCCCATCGAAGGTACGGGAAGCGTCATGTCTGACCGGCGTCGATCGACTCGGCCAACCTTCCAGTTATCTGGCATCGCTATCCTACCAGCAAGGCTCTTGCCGCTCATCACACCAGAAAATTTCTCCAGCGGAGCTGAGGTCTCGTCGTAGTCTTGCCCAACGTTCACAATTTTAGACTGGGCATAGATGGTGGTGACAGGTCTCTCGCCATCGAACTCAACAGCGCTGCGCTTGGCATTGGCGTTGCCATTGTTGTTGTTGTTGTTGTTGTTGGAGAATTTTCCAGTGACCGCCATGTACACGACAACGATGATCACGATTACAACCACAATAAGGACTTGAAGGGGCTGTCAGCAGGGGGTCTTCGGGGAGTCGGGATAGGGGGCTTGGGGCAGCCGGGTATGTATGCGTACCACTGATACCAACACAGTACCACTTCTTCCTGCGCGTCTTCCTCGCCGTGTCGACAGCGACCTCGATCTCCTGGTTGCCCTTGTCAAGGTTCTCAACAACCTCCTCGCCCTTTTGTTCGATCTGTACAACGGCCGCTTCTTGTTGGACGATCAGGGTGTCCATGTCCTGGAAGAGCTGGGCCAGCTCGATCATTTGCTGCTCGATCTTCTGCAGTGCCTTGTGGCGATCCTGCACGGCGTTCAGGACAGCTCTGGCCTGGCCCTGTCGGTTGCTCTGCATCATGGCCTGCTGGAACACCTGTTGGCCGCCGGCAGACATATCCTCCACGGCGGCCCGGACCTCGGTGTCGTCGGCGTCCGGTCGGACGATGCGGTATTGCCGCTCCATCTGAGACTGCATCTTCTTCCGGAAAGCGGCCTCGACCTCCTGGTATTGTTGGATGGCGTTCTTCAGACGACGGTCGATGCGGCCGACCTGGGGGGCGTTCTTCGGGGTCTTGGCGTCTGGCATAGACTTCATCTTGCGGACGCGGTCGGTAAGCTCCCGGTACATGGACATGGTGTCGGCAGAGAGACTATCAAGCTCGCGGGTCGTTCCTGAGCTGCTGGAGTCGGTCTCGTTGAGGGATCGATCTTGAAGCATGCGGAGCTGGTTGAGGTTGGTGTCGATCCCGTCGATGCCCTGACCAATTTCACGGCACTCGTTCAGGATGGCATTGGGGTCGCTGGCGGCAAAGCTTGCCCCATTCTGCGAGAGGGGTGCCATTTCGACGTTGTTCCCTGGCAATTGTCAGACGATCGTGCGCGCAGGGGTGATTCTTCGGCCCTGGGACACTCGCCCCGGGTCTGGCCTGAGCAGCACTCACCATATGCCCCGTCGTAAGCACCATTGTCGTACTGGTTGTAGCCTCCGCCGCCTGGGCGGGGAGACTGACCGAAGCTAGCCTGAGGTGGCGATGTCATCTGTGAAGAGCCATACTGGCCAGCGGGAGAGTCTTGTTGGGCGTAAGGGTTGGCCCTGCCACCGTATCTGGACTGCGGTCAGCTTTGGTTTTGATTCAAACCACGGGAGCAGGTAGCTTCGGCCAATTGGTTTGTCCGTGCTTCGCGGTCAATGGCAAGGAGCCATGAGAGGCATCATCCAGGTGGGTAATGGAAAGCTCACCCGTACTGTGAGGCACAAAGTCAGCAAGTCGGGTCTGGCACTGAGTCTCGAGGATCACACGATTTGCTGGTGAGAATGATGGTGGAGATGGGGTAAATTGGCAGTAGAGGAAATGCGTGGAAGAATCATGATGGAAGGGGACGGCGCATACACTCATGATGAGGATGGATTAGATTGAATTAGTGAGGCGTCGGAACGACCCCTTGATAGGCACAGAGAGCTGGCGATCGGCGACAAGCGGCAGCGAAGTCGTCGGTGCCGAGACGAGAGGTAGACGGGAATGCGATGCGGTGGTTGTGATGCGTGGGTGCGTCGAGGTCGTCAGGATCGATGTTGAGGGCGGAAGGGCAGGCGAAGGCAGGCAGAGGAGGACAGGAGCCCCCGTGTTGTTGCGTTGTGCCGAGATGTGTCGTGCAATCAAAGTGAGGTAGAGTAATGTAATGTAATGGATAGGAAACGGAAAGTAAAACGACTGGGCTGAAAGAAAAGGGGAGTGTGTAGGGAAAAAGGGAAGTCGATGCTTGGTAGGTCGAATTCAGGTGGGCCGGGTGCGAGTTGGGCGACGGGAGAGGCAAGCTGAAGAGAAGAGGCAGGAGGACATGGCCAGGAGGGGCGCAGGGGTCTGGCGCCTGGGAGCGGGTCTGGGTCGGTCTGGCAGGGTGGCAGTCTGGCCCCAGGTTGGGCAAGTCTGGGACTGGCTGCCAGGGTCTGGGGCCTGCGAGATTGGCTGCGACAGGCTTTGGAACAAACACAGACTCGCACCTCGGATTCTAATCACTACCACCAGCATCGCATTACGCGCGCACTAGTCGCCCAACACCACAGGCGACCGGGCTGCAGGCAGTCTGGCGTACGCAGGCAGTCCGGTGGTGGTGGGCGAGGATATAGATACTGCGTGTGTGTATTGTCTGCCTGTCCGCCAGTCTGCCTTTTAGCTGTTAGGCACAGGCACAAATCCAAATACCGAGTTCCATTGCAATCTCCATCGGCTTATTACTACCACCTCCAGTCATCCATCCAACCCACCAATACGAGCCGAGCAAATGACACTTGGGGGCCTGGGTCCTTTTACAGTATTAGTCGTCCCCTTTCCCTCGCACTGCCCGTCCGAAAGATGGCATTTGACGATGATCATCTATACACTGCTGCTGCTGCTGCGGCGGCGGCGGCGGCGGCGGGTGGCGAGGCAGAGGACGAGCAACCCAGCACGAGGAAGCAGGCGGCGGAGTGGCCATGACTGGGTGCGAGTGGCGTACGGAGGCTCAGCGACAATGCAGTCTGGTCTTGCAGTTGCAGTGTTGCAGTCGGAAGCAACCAACCAGTCGATCCAGTCCATGCAGTGCCCTCGACGAAGAAGCAGCGGAGCATTGCGAGACGGGGGTGAGGCAGGCTCGAGGCAGGGACCAGGGCCGTCCACGGTGCCCAGTTTCATCGTGTCGATCGGCGCCAGACTTGTTTGGCCGAAAGATGAACCACACCACGGCGCACCCACTCCCGCTGCCACCGTGCCATTCCATTCCCCACCCTCTCTTCCTGTTCCTGTGAAATGTTCCAGACGAGCAGTGATAATCTGCGGACCGGCTTGTTGATGGACTGAATTACTTGGACTACATAGACTCCTGTCAGTCTCTGTCGTGTGCTCGGAAGCCTGCCAAGTCGATCAGACCTAGGTGGGGACTATGTGGTTTGCCAGTTGCACCGCGGCACCTGTCTCACCGTCGACCGCCGGCCGTCCACCACCACGGCGCCATGAGCGAGTGCATGTGTGCAGGCGACCCAGGCGACAGGCACAGCTGCTTTTCGGCTGGCAACGTCCCAATGCACACAGCCTCGACCCAACATGGTTCTGCCTGCCACTGCCGACCGCCACTGGCACTGTCGAGGCATCACCAAGCGAGCCCACCGCACCCGGCGGTTTTCGACTTGGGACGAAGCAGCGGCCACCAAGCCACATGCGGCTGCAGGCTACCACTACACTACTGCGCACGGCACTGTCCTGCGTGCCTGCATCAGGGACCACGCCGCGCCGCACCCGCCTCCGCGTCCGGGTCGCCTCCTGGCCTCGGTCCCGGTCCCGGTCCTGTTGCAAGTCGCCCTGAGACACTGTCGAATCACTCCGCGCAACACCATGACCCATCTGCCCAGCCAGCTCGGATACTGCCCATTCTGCACTAATCCACTCCTGCACATGCCTACAAGTAGTCTACTTGAAATATGAGCACACTACCTAGGTAAACCTAGGTAAACCATGCTGCGTCGCGCAGTACGTATCCGACTTCCACGTGATCCCATGCGTCCCGTCCCCCCCCCCCCAAAAAAAAACCCCATCCATCACCTTCCTGACAATACCTAACTAGGTAGGTACCTACCAGCACTTTGGGAAAGCCGCCCTCTGCCGGTCCGCATCGGACTCCTTTGTGTGGTAAACCACACTACAATAGCCACGTGTTGCTCACTTTTTCTTTTGAGAACGGATATTCGCACAGAAAGAAACGAATGGTATACAGATACATTATACGCCTAGTGCACGTACACCCAACACACCCACAACCAAGATACCTACACCCAATTTATATATATATTGAGCGTAGGTGTATAAATCAGGTGTGGGTTTGGGACTTGGGTGTGGGTGTTAAGCTCTGATCAGCTGCGGGAATATTATTTAAGAGGTATCCAGTGTACCATCCGTTTTCTTGTGTGCGAGTATCTGTTTTTCTTTCTTTTTGATTGACCTCCCAACACAGGATTCCAAGCGGCCGGTAAAGGACGCATAATGCAGAGCGGCCAAACCTGCACTTCTGTCACCAGCCCCTCCCCTTCAATCAAAAAAAAGGGGGGGGGGGGAGAGACCAACAACAACGTCGGTGTCACCCGTCAGGCTTGTTTCCACAGGTCAATGAGGTCGGGATCGTGGAAGGGCATGAAGGAGCACCCGAAAGCAGTACAATGACATACGTGTAAATTCGATACGATACCATCTCGTGCCAGCCGTATGCTCTGAACCTGGCCACATCTCTTGTCCTGAAGTAGCATGCTTGACAAGGTTCTACACGCGAACTCGGCGGTCAAGTGCCGGGCATTGACTAGAGGACTTCTAAGCCGTTTCTCACTTGCACACGGGAGGTAGGGCATCGGGATGCTCGCTTGATTCCACGGCAGTCGATTACTATGTCTTGAGAGTGCATTCCTCCATGAACACATCTCTCCCCCGGCGGCAGCCGCGGCTGTCTGACAATATCATAAGTTCTGATACCTTCCAGATGGCAGAACGGTCTGCCGATAGGCTTCCCTCAGGCGACGGCGTAGAACGATGCATAACTGACACTGGAGTCATCGAGCCTCTCCACCAGGCTGCTCCTCTCGTATCGCAGGAGCTGGAAAGGCCCTGCGCCAACGGCTTCCATGGCTGCCATTGTCACACCGATAGGATGACGCCCGCATACTGTGTTCCTAGTCACCTTCAGGTTATCAACGAACCTGTCATGGTCCCCCGAAGCAACCGCTTCCATGGCCAGCTCATCCAAGACCCTGATTCCCTCGTGTATGGGCGTCTCCGTATCTGCTGCCCTTCGCGAAAGCATTCTCAGTTGATCTAGCTTGTCCGCGGACGGCACGTAGGCCGTGTACGAGAAGCGCGATCCCCAGTGGCAGAAGTCGGAGGACACCACAAACGCGTTGTCCGGATCCTCGAGGTACTTGGCCAGCAACTGGCCGAATTCCTTCTCCTTTGCACCGTTGTTGTCGCCGACTAGGATTGGCACGATAGGTGGATACGCTGCCGGGCTGCTCTCGGCATGCGTCTGTTCCAACCTCTTCCATACGTACGGCAAATGCATCTCCAGGCTGTGCTCATCCTCGTCACTCGACGCAGGGATGTCGCTGAACTTGCCCGTCTCCCGCAACGCCTCGACCGTCTGGGCGTCCACCGTCAGCTTGCCAAAGGGTGTCTCGTAGCTCGCGAAGGTGCTTAGTGCACATCCCTTCAGGTAGTAGGTGTGGGAAGGCCCCAGGACAAAAATTCGCTTGGCAGCGGACAGGTCGAGAGACTTGTAGGCCCAGGCGGCGCAGGGGCCAGAGTAGGAGTAGCCTGCATGTCTAGACACATATGATCAGCTTGGACGGGGTGGAAGGGGACCACGATAAGACGCCGAGGCGGGCGTGCCTGGGGCGAGCAAGAAGGCACCAACGCATGGAGGGAAGGCACTTACGGGGCTATGATGACTCTGGACTTGGGGACGGGTAGCTGTTTGCCGTCTATCGTCGAGGGCACCTTTTCGAGGAATCCATCAAGTTGGCGTGACAAGATCTCGGGCCTGCTCTCGTACCAGCTGCCGGCATGGGTAGCATTGCGAGAACCCCGTTGCGGCATGATGAGGAGGCGTACTGTCGTGTACTTCTCTCTCTCCCCCTGTGAGTACGCGCGCGTGTATGTGCGTCTGCCTGCGAAAGGATGACAGGCTGTGCTCGAGAAGCGTTGGATCGGCGGTTGGTCCAGCTCAGGGAGGGGGAGATGAAGTTGAACCTGAGTCGCAAGGGTGAAGGGGGGCAGGAACACAAGATGATGGTGCGTCTTTGAGCTGTTTGGTGACCTCTTTCAGAGCCCGGGGAAGCGAGGGGCAGCGTTGGGCCGCCCTGGCAATGACATCAAGCTGTCCCCTCTATTTAGACCCTGGGTGGGTTGCACTAACTGCGCTAGGTATGTAGGTACGTACCGTAGTGCGTCTGACTGCTTTAGATACCTTGGTACCACACATGGTAGGTACCTGGGTAGATGCGTGGAGCATTGAAGTCCATATGCCAGATCCCATAAGTTTAGAGCAGCTTGATTCCGAAGCAGAAGCAGATGCAGTATACCTCTAGTATTCAAATGCTGATGCAATAATCGCTATGCTCGTTCGGCACCCAAACAGCCTTACCGTACGAGGCAGCGTTGGTCTATAGCCCTATGCCGAGCAAACCGATTCACTTCGTTCTACCAAGCAGTCACATCGCATATAGGAAGGGTCGATATTCAGAGAAAGTAACCATCGGGCCGTCAAAGGTTCACGCCATCAACCGACATGTGTGGCGTCAAGTGACATTTGTCCAAGTCACTGGCAAAAGATGCCATTCGTACGCTGCCGTAATGCCCCATAATATACAGGGCCAACACGATCGTAAGCCAAAGCAAATTCCGAGAACGCCGCACTTGTTCCCTTGACTAATTTTGAACTCCCTTCTCCAAATAAACGCCGGGCCCCTTCCGTGGTTGTCCACCACAATGGCTCCCATGGGACGTGTCTGCGCTTGACTAATAAACCGACATAGGCTCCGAGGTCCATCCGGCAGTGCCGACCCACGTCTTCCGCGTGTCTTCCTTGCCGGCGCAGACCAGACACCGTCGCTGTTCGCCGAGGTTACTAACAGAGCACGAGAAGCACACAGCCTTGCAGCACAGGCTGCAGGAACTGATGTATGTCTCAAAGCCGTATCCGTCATCTACTGCTGCGTCTTCGCCGCCCAGCTCAACGCCGCAGTCATCACAGGTCGTGGGGTGATCGACGATGGCGTCGACAGAGGGGCCCGGGGCAGACGACAGGGCCGGAACGGGCGGCGACTGCTGACTGGAAGGGATGTCCCAGAAGCTGTGCAAGGAGCGCTGGCTCTGCGCGGGCGCGGGCGCGGGTGCGGCGGGTGGGCGAGGCTGAACAGACGAGACTGGCGACGGCGCGATAGAGGGGCTGGCGGCGGGCGGCGGGGAGAAGACATGCTGGGGCTGCTGGGGCCGTTGCTGAGCGCGGTACAGCATTTGCAGGGTGTTCTCTGTAGACGCCCGAACGTGACGCAAGAGTGAGTCTGGGAACATACCCCAAGACAGGAATGGGCCCCCGTCGCCTGACTTACGGTGAACCTCGTGGTCCGAGGGGCGTCCGTTGCGCAGGCGCTTGAAGGTTCGGCTGGGCAGGTGGGACGGCGTGCACGAGCGGCTCGGGGAGCGGATGGTCATGGCGGAGAGTGGGCTGTCGATGCCCATGTCGAGATGCGTATCCGAGTTCATGTCCATGTCGACGTCCATGTCCAGCGTGGCGACGTCGCCGGCGGTGGTGACCCTAAGCGGAGACGAGCTGCCAAAGGGCGAGAGCTGGTCGTCGGACCGCTTGCGTTTGAGCAGCATCGTGACGGATTTGTGTGTGACTGGGGTGGATTGGTTGATGGTCGCGATCAGCCGGTCACTCAGTGACTCGGCCACAGGCGTTTGGCGATAGAGACCGATGGATTGTTTGAAGCAGGCGGCACTTGAGATGGATGGCCCCAGCCTTGCTCGTGTGCATTTGCGCAGGTGGGAGCAGACGGGTGGGAGAGGGTGGTGGCTGGGGCTGAGAAGACGCGACCGTGCGGCAGCGAGCAGTTGGAAGGGCAGGTCGCGATTTCAATTTAGGTAGCGCGCCCACGGGCCACCAGCAGCAGCCAGCAGCAGCCAGCAGCAGCCAGGGCAGGGTCGGAGCGCGTCGGGCAGGGGTTTGCGAACGGGACGGGAGCTAGGTACCTATACCCACCTAGGTGGGTAGGTACTTGTTCAAGGTCGGAATACTACCTACAAGCACATGAAGGAAGGTCCAGTACGCAGGCACCCAGAGTCAACACACCACAACCCCACAAACACTCTGCACTTATTAGTCCACTACACCAGCTTGATCACCAGCTTCCCCACCCCGCCCTTCAGAGTCCGGACCTCTTCGCACCTGTTCTTGACGTTGTCCAGGTCGTCCAAGGCCACCACCGTCGTGACGGCCCTGACCTTCCGCGTGGAGATCACCTCCCCGGCCCTCTCCCCGGCCTCTCGCACGCCAGGGTTGCCCGAGAGAAACGTGAGCCTCACCCCGGTCCGCCACAGCTTCCACCAGTACCACACCTGGGCCATGTCCAGTATCCAGCAAATCCACAGCGGCACAAATTCACGTCCCATCGACGCCCTCAGCTCCTGCGACGGCGGGACCGCTAGGATGGCAGCAATCACCCCCTGCCCTGGCTTCATCAGCGGCAGGTAGCCCGCCAGATCCGGCCGCGAGTTATACAGGAGATCTACCCTGCCCTTGCCAACCTCGTCGACGACATGCTGCCTCTGGTAATCCACCACCCTGTCCACCACGCCCGGCATCAGCTCCGCCACAAGCCCCACCTTGGCCGTCGATACCGTTGTGATCACCTCCCCGGCCCCGTAGACATTCTTGAGCACCTGGCACGCTATACTCGTCGCCGCCCCGAGCCCCGCCGTCACCAACGCCGTCTTGCCCTCGAGACTCCGGCGCGGGAACGCGGCTGGGTTGAGCGCCACCGCCGCCCGCGTGATCTGTATTGCCGTCAACGTGCTGCCCAGCAACGAGGCCGCTTCTTCAAACGACAGGTGCGCCGGCTTAGGGAGCAGCAGGTCTTCAGTAGCCACGGCATAGTCGGCACACCACCCGCTCTGCTCAGTCCAAAAGCGCCCCATGGGTCGTTTGAGTGCAATCCCATACACTGCATCGCCCACCCTGACGGATCTGACCTCGGCACCCACCGCGGCCACAACGCCCGCACCCTCGTGCGCGAGGATCATGGGAAACCTGCAAGACGCGTCGGCGGCATCAGTGGCGCTGCCCGCACGCGGTACTTGCGCATGCACATGTGCAAAGCTGTGTGTCTGTAGATAGCGTGGGGACTGACCGGATAGAGAAGAACCTCCTGGCGCTGCTGCTGGCGAACTGGCAGTCGCCTGTCTGCATGGCTGCTGAGTAGATTCGAATAAGGACCTGATTGGGCTCCGTGAGCTCCGGAAGCGGCAGCTGCGCGATCTCGTATCCGTCCGGCCTGCAATATTTCGGCGCCACGAGGGCACGCATTGTTTGAGGCACTTGTTCCATATCTGGCGTATTCCCTTTGTTCGTGAGCACTTGCTGGACTCGAATATGTCTGAGGAGGTACTGGCGCTCTTTTCTTATATACCCTGTGAACGTATGTGTGTGTCAGTGCCACAAGAGCCCATGTGGGCATGCCGTGGACTTCGGCGCCGGCGCCGAACACTTTCGGTGGGGTCGCCGAATCCAGCACCGGACGTGCTGATGCTCGATTAGGACACCGAGTCGGCGCGCTCGCCGCTCGCCACCCACGGCACGGTGTGGGCTGTAGAGCAATACGAGGGACACAAGCCTTGTTATCAAAGGGGTTCTGGGCTTTGTCGCATCTCCACAAATCTGGCCCGTTGATTCACTGCAAACAAATTGTTGTCCCCAATATCTCAGCACGAGCAGGGCCATGTGCTGGGCCTACCCACCTGGTGCGGCGTAGGTAGTTAGCCCCCCCGCCAGGGGAGGGGACGCTCAGAGCCCCTAACCCTGCTGGCTCCACCCCAAGGCGTGCGGCAGGGGCAGATTTCCACTCCGGAGCATTTGAGGTCGGTCCCGATTCCGCTGGCGCAGGTGAACAGCTCCAGAACACAACCACGCTGGGCCTTGCCAACAGTCCCCAGCTTCAAGATGGCCAGTAACGTCTCCATCGCGCGGTGCGTGCGCGACTCCTCCTCCATCTCGCGGCTAGCCAGCAGCCTTCGCGCCCTTTACCTCTCCTCGTCCGCATCGCGCCCGACCATGGCGACCCCGATCCCCATTCGACCACACACAGATGTTTCCCAGGCTCGCAGCCTTTGCTCGAGCATGGCGCCGAAACGCGCCCTCTCCGTTGTGACAAGGCCCGTTGCCAGGCCGTTGGCTGTAGCTGCGCTTCAACAGCAGATCCGTGGGATGAAAGTGCACAGTTCAATCAAGAAGCGTTGCGAGCATTGCAAGGTACGTTTACACGCCGCGGCGCTGCCTTGCGTATGTGGTCGATCTGATGGCTGACTGGTGTTATGCAGATTGTACGGCGGAAGAAGGGCAAGAGAGGAAACGGGTACCGATATGTCATCTGCAGCGCAAATCCTAGGCACAAACAACGTCAGGGGTCGTAGGTGACCACTGGATGGATCTGGCATCTGGCATCAGGCAGTGGCAAAGACGCAAGCAGACGGAAAGGCAGAATGATGGTTCGATATCTGTATGCGCGCCACAGTTACGGCCACACGCGGATGGCGCTCAAAGGCATGGTGCAGTTGGGACATTTGGGACAGGTAGTGAGTTGCTGGGACGGTCAGATGGGCAGTCAAGGAGCATGCACACACAGCACGGGCTCAGCGCGACACACCATGCTCAATGGTCATGGCCACGGCCATGTAGGAAGGAGGAGCGGCAGACATCGATTCAAAGCACACCAATAGGATACACAGACGGCCTCACCAGGCCGGTGCGCCGCGAAGACGGTCACATGCCGTCAATAAACCTTTCCAAGCCCTCCCACTGCGTCTTGCCCGTGGACAGAAGATACCGTATGTGCTGCTGTGGTGTTGGTCTGTCAGTAATAATCCCATACGAGTGAAGCTGTTGCATGGGCGGTGACGGGGGAAGGGGCTGGCAAACCAGGTCTTGGACGTGGCGATGTCTCTCGAACTCTTGCCTTGCGAAGAGTCGCGTCTCGTCACGGGTCTTCTGATCACTTATCCTGCTGGTGCCACGCAACACGGCCCGGTAGAGTGCCAGGACGCGGGCGCGCTGGAGGAACTGCAGGCACGTGGCGCGGTGCATCAGCGTTTTTGTCCGGCCAGCATCAGCCAGCAACAGTAACAGCCACGGCCAGCGTGATGGGCATGCGATGGTCACCCGTACGTACATGTTCTAGGCTAACCGTCTCGCCCAGCCTCGAAGGGCGTCCGCGACCAGAACCATGGGCATAGCAGCGGAGCTGATGCTGCGGAAACAGCTTGAATGCTCTCATTGAGCCGGAACCAGGTGGCGATGTTGTGCGTGATACATGTCCCACTGAGACACCGAAAGCCCAAATCCCATACACACACACACAGCCTCGGAAGTCTTGGATTATTCCCACTGCTTTGGTGGGCTGGCCCTGGCTGTCCAATGTCTACTGGTGGTTTGCAGGCTTGCCAAGGTGGAACCCACCGGAGCAGTTTTCGCAACGTCATAGTCGTGGCCGGGCACGCTGCGCTGCAGGTACTGTACTTGGTTGGTAGCGGCCGCGGCACTCGGACCGGGGTCAGTTGTACTTCACGCGCCGCCTCGTCGTGCCAACGCGTTCTTGCCCGCGTCGCTGCTTTCCACGCCTCACGACCGACAGCACAATGGCAAGTGGTATTCGTCTTCCAGCACTGCTTGCCCTGCCCTGCCTGTCTTTTTTGGTCTCACTCCCGCCTTCTCCCTCCCTCGCCTCCAGCACAGGATGAAACGACGCAGGCGCCTCGAGCGGATGGAACAAGCCCTCCAAACGACCAACCGCAAGACAGACCACGATTTCATCCAGGATTTCCTCCTCGTGTTAGAAATTCTTTAAACACTCGAGCTATGAATTTCAGTGCCTGATGAGCTGAAATGTTGGAACAGACCGTATGCGCCAAGGGCGCCATGGAGCCCTACCTGGGCCAACCCGATCACAGGATGTGCCTACAGCCTCTGCCTCTGCCAGCCTCGCAAAACCATGACCAGCGCTGAGCTCGATGCCTGCTTCTCACTCGTCCGAGCGACGAGCCAGAGAGACTATGAGGGCTCTTCGCGTGGCTGGGATCCACCCGCCAAGAGGGAGGAGATGCGGCACCCCGATCTGCGGTACATTCTGGTCAGAGACGCGCACTCCGTCGTCCAGGGCTTCACCAGCCTTATGCCCACCATCGAGGAGGGCCAGCCAGTGGTCTACTGCTACGAAATTCATCTCGAGCCCGACCTCCGTGGCACCGGCTTGGCGAAGTTATTGATGGATCTGCTGGAGACGGTGGCCTACAATATCGACGTAGTCGACAAGGTCATGTTGACCGTCTTCACCTGCAACAAAAGGGCTCTCGAATTCTACCAAAAGTGTGGCTTTGTGAGGGATGAGATAAGCCCTCAGCCCAGGACGCTCAGGGGCGGAAAGGTCAAAGTGCCGGAATACGAGATCCTGAGCAAGCCCGTTGAGCGACGCGGACACACGACCGCGACCGCAGGCGGCGCTGCACCGAATGTTGGACCGGGCGGGGATGTCTCCTCTACTCAAGACGAGCAAGATCAAGGCGTTGAGGAGTCAACTGTAGAGCCTTCCAGGCCGGCCAAGATCGCGAGGCTCGACCGTGCCGAGACAGCCATGTGAATTGGCTGGGAGACGGACCGTGGCTGGGGCTTCAATATTCGCCTGGTCCGTTCCATGTTCAATCTCATCAAACGCTGCTCGGGCCAGCAGAGGTTGATAATTAAAGCTATCAGATACTCACAGCTTACACACGAATTAAGAACAATTAATCTTTCAAATTGCTTATAACAGCACAGGTATATAAGCTTTATTAGAAAAAAAAAGAGATGGAAAGCTAATTGGGGCTTTGCCACACAGAGTTGATGCTATACACTTGTCTACATCTGGCACTCGCTGACTCAGCTGTGCTGGTCCCGTGAGCCCGCGAGGAACTGCGCGCCAAAGGGGACTATCCAGTGATCCCCCCCCCCCCCCCGGCCCCCACCCGACGCGTCTTCGCTGTGGCAGGAACACTCGTCACCAAACCGCGCAACTTGGCCATGAAAGCGAACATGCTCGTGCTAGCCGCGCGACGAAGCGACAGCCCCAGATGGAACATCATTACCGTTCACCCGGTTCGACGGATGCGGTGACCTCGTGCCCCGAGCCCGAAGACTCCGAAGCCCAGGACAGTCCAGCGGCCCCGCAGCCGATTGCCTCCCAGCATGCCAGCTTGAAATACTCCCTCCTTGGGCCATCACTGACCAAGGCCGGCCAGGACTCCGTTGACCAGAGCAAGGTGGGCCTCCATGTCTTGACGCGCTGTTCTACAAGAAAGCTGCGGCTGTGGCTAACTCTTGTCCCGCGGCCGCCTCCTTTTGCAGGTCTCCGAGATCATATACAACGCCTCTAGGGGCTCCAAGTATTTCAACCGCGAGGAGGAAAGAGACAAGGTCCTTACAGTCAAGATCGACCGCATCCTCGAAAAGAAGCGCAAGCTCGAGAAGCTCGACTTGTCGAGCGAGCTGCGCAGGGCCGACACCCTCATTGCTGAGCTCGAGCTGAGCCGGGACCTCAGCCAGTACATCGTCCATCTTGACTGCGACGCCTTCTACGCGGCCGTCGAACAGCTCGACCGGCCCGAATTAACGGACTTGCCATTCGCCGTTGGCGGCGGGGTACTTACGACATGCAACTACGTAGCACGACAATTCGGATGTCGGTCAGGGATGGCCGGCTTCGTAGCAAAGAGGCTTTGCCCCGATCTCATATTCCTCCCACTCAATTTCGACAAGTATACTGCTAAGGCGAATGAGGTGCGTGAGGTCATAGCCGAGTACGACCCGCGTTTTGAGAGCGCGAGCATCGATGAGGCATACCTGAACATCACAGAATACTGCCAGGACCATAACATGTCTCCCGAAGATGCTGTGGCCCAAATGCGGCGGCAGGTGCATCTGAGGACGAGCATCACGGTCTCTGCAGGCATCGCTGCCAACGCGAAGCTTGCCAAGATCTGTTCCAACATGAACAAACCTAACGGGCAGTTCGTGCTTCCCAACGACCGTGTCGCCATCATGTCATTCATGCGAGACTTGCCCTGCCGCAAAGTCAACGGGATTGGCAGAGTGTGGGAACGAGAACTGAAGGCTATCGGAATACAGACGTGTGGCGATATATATGGCCAGAGACGGTTCCTCAATCCGCTGTTCGGAGAAAAGGCCTTCGAGTTCCTCGTACACTGCAACTTAGGTCTTGGCCGCACCGACGTCCAGCCTGCAGAGGAGTACGAGCGGAAGTCTGTTGGGACGGAAAGCACATTCCACGACATGTCCGACCCAAAGGAGCTGAGAGAGAAGCTTCACTGGACTGCCCAGGAGCTAGAGAAAGAGTAAGCAACTTCCATATGCCGCATGTGCCGTTCCAGGCACATACACACAAAGTGCTTTCAAGTGGGTTAAGCACCAACGGGAGAACCCCCTGTGGGATAGTAGCCCATTGGGTAATCTCACCGTGTTCAATGGTCTTTGTCTCTAAGCTACTTGCCAAGCTTTCGGTTTTCGAAACAGACTATGGGCGACTAATTTTCTCGCTCGACTTGGCTTTTTTCCATGTCTTTATCCCATGTGGTTTGATTGCTAACGCTGAAAACTACAGCATGCGTAGGGCAGGTTGCAGGGCGAGAACGTTGGTCCTGAAAATCAAATTGCACACGTATGAGGTCTATACCCGGCAAACTGTGCTTCCGAGAGCTATCAATCTTGCGGGAGACTTATACAACCATGCTGTACCTGTACTTTCTAAACTGGAACATGAGATGCCAGGCATGAAGATCAGGCTAATGGGCTTGCGCTGTACCCATCTTGTTAGCACGAAGAGGCCAGACACAACGGCATTCTTTGGGCTCAAGCCCGGGAGTGGAGCAACGAGCAACGAGCCTGGCAAGGTATTGCGGGGGACAAATCAGGGCAACGACGACCATGTGCGGGAAATGATGCCTGCTGAGTTGCCCGAACAGGACGCCATCCATGCGATCAATGTGGACGGCGAATTCAGAAGCCCTTATAGAAGACATGGCAAAGAAATTATGCCTTACCCAGACCCCACCAGCAAGGCTCCTCAGGCACCAGACGAGTGGTGGGAATGTCCTATTTGCAGTCGACCACAGCCCGCTGATGAAAGACAATTCAACTCTCACATTGACGCATGCCTGTCGCGCCAGACAATCCGGGATGCTGTCCAACAGGAGCAGCAACTTCCGTCGAGCCGTGGACTGACATCGGAACCAAAGCGGCCGAGAACAGGCTCAGACAAGAAAAGAGGGCGACAAGGGGCGGTTGAAGATCCCAAGCAGAAGAAGCTATGTTTCGGATAAGGGTACCTCTGGAGAGGGATTGTTTACGACTAGCGAGCTGAACGTTTAAAGACATGGCGTGGAAACGTGGCCTCATATGCCTCATCACATGGGTTCATGCTCATGTATCTAGGGAGTCTCAGGCCAGCAACTCTTCTAACATCAAATGACATCCCTTTTTGTTGTCCAGCTGTCGTATTTGGTAGAGACAGTCATCGCCAAACTAGGTCTTCGCTAGGAACCTAGTTGCTTAACTTAGGTGCCTAGGTAATGGGTAGAAAGATTGAAGGCCGCTGGGGTTTTGAAGTGACGCTGTGTCCACATTCCACGAGATGCCTGTTACGGTGCTGCTCGTAAGCCGTGATAATAACTTGTGTTGCGCGAGGAGAGGAGCTAAAAGTCTACGAACCGCAGGCGAAGCTGCGGCGTTTATATAGTGGGCCATTGTAGTGGGTACCGTGACAATGCCAAAGATATATAGGGCCCTTCCTGCCTCCCAACGACTATTTAATAGGAAGTCTCGTTGCCATCGGAGTCACAGTACCAACTGGAGCAGGTCTTTGGAGGGTCAGGGGACATGATGTCTGCAATTGGTTTAAATTGCTGCACAGATGTCAATATTCGAGACCATTCCATTAACGTGGTTTACCACTAAGTAGCGGATATTACTAAGTAGCGGATTTTTCTAACTTTACCTAACTTTTATTAATTATAATAATATATTAAAGTAAATAAATTAATAAAAAGTTAGCATTAATTAATATTAATTATATTTAATTTCTTATTTTTAATTAATTTTATTAATTTAAAAGCATTAATATAAATATAATATTAATTTAAATTAATTAAGTTTTAATAAAAAATGTATATTTAGCATTAATTAATGTTAATTATATTATTAAAAATATAGTTTATTATAAATTAATAAAATAATTATATTTATATTAATTAATGTTAATTAAGCTAAATTTATTATAATATAATTAAAATTTAATTAATTAAACCCTTTTTTATCTTTTTTATAAGTTTTTATATTATGCTTAATCTTATTATAATTGCTATAACATCTTTTAATTAATTTAATATAAATTAACTTTTTTATCTTATTATTTATTTTATTAATTAATCGCTTTACCTTTTATTTTTCTTATATAAAAGCTTAAGATTCCTTAATTATAAATACTCCTTTAAGTTATACTTAAGTTTTTTTAACCCTTTAACATTTAATACATATTATATTAATATCTTAAAGCATATAAATTTATTTATTTATTATAATAAATAAGTGCATTATTATTTATATACTTTTTGCTAATTAATTAATAATCTTTATAATTAATATAAGGAAGCTTTCTTAATAAATAGAAATCTTACTCTTAATAAAACTTAATTATTAAATAGTTTATTAAGCATTTAATAATATTTAAAACTTTTATTTTTAAAAAAAATAAAAAGGGATTATATTAAAGTTTATAAATAAATATTAAGCTTAAAAATTATAAAATTAAAGTTTTAAGGAGAAATTTTAGCTTTTTTAAATGCAAACTTAATATTTTTTATTATAAAAGTTTTATTATAAGCTGCTTTAAACATAAAAAAAGAACTTAAATTTAATAATATAATTAATAAAAGCTTAAATAAAAAAGTTAATTTATTATTATATATATACTTTAAGGTAAATATAATGCAATATTTAATAATTAAAGTAAGTAAAATAATATAATAATATATTAATAATAATAATCTTATTATCTTTATAATATTAATTAAACTTAATTAATATATAGCTTTTATAATTATTTATAATTAATATTTAATAATTAATATTTTTTTTTAACTTAATATACTTATTAAAATATTAAATTTATTTTAAATTAATTTTATTATTTATTTATTTATTAAAAATAAGCTTAATAACTTAATTATTTAAAAAACTTAACTTTATTATTTAATTAATAAAATAATAAACACCTTAAATAATTATAAATAATAAAATTTATAACTTACTTATATTAATATATTTAATAATAATTACTTATTTTTAATTATTAAGTTAAATTAATTTAGCTTTTTTATATTTATTAATATATATAATAATTATTAATAAAGTAATTATATTTATTATAAAGTTAGGCTGCATGGCGCATTAGTTATGCATCTAGCTTCTCTCCATAGAGGGCATAGGTTTAAACCCTGCTGCGGCTGCCAAAACCTTTTTTAAGAATTTTCTCTTTAATTACGTTATAGCGAATCGCGGCCTGCCCACTTATAACCCCCCTAGCTAAAAAAAGGGGCCTATGCTTAAGGCCCTAAAAACCCTATCAAAGCTAATGAAAATAAGCACTTAAAAAAAGCCCTAGGCCTTTAAAACCTTAGGCTAACAGTGCCTTAAAATGCACTTTATAATATAGCCCCCTTATAAGGGGCCTTTAAATTAATTAATAAATAGGCCTTATTATAAGCCTTAATTAGCTTTATTAAAAGCCTTGCATTAATAAAGGCAGCTTTATAACCTTGCATTAAAGCAGCCACGGCTCCTTAATAAGAAAGTAATAACCCCTTATTAAATAACTATAAGGGATTCGCTTATAAAAAGCGGCCCTTATTAAGATTAGGATTAAAAAAGAGAATTACTAGGAGAAAGGAGTAAAGAAGGGCTTTATAAATCTTAAGAGAGGTTAAGGGAGGAGCTCTTAATTAAAGGAATTAAGAAGCGTATTAGTTTTTATTTAGCTTTAGGGCACAGTTTTTTTAGTATGGGTAAATTTGCAAAGGGATTGCATATTAAATTGGCAAGCTTTATATATATATATATATATATATTATAGCTTTATGTAAATAAAATATTATTATTATTATTATTATTATTATTATAAAGTTAATTTTATTAAAGTTATAAAAGTTATTATTAATAATTTAATACTTAGCTATTATATTATAAAAAAGCTTAAATTAATTCTTAATAATCTTTAAATCTTTGCAAAAAGCCCTTTAATAATTATAAAAATAATTAAACTTAATCTTTAAGTTAAGTTATAAATTTATAAAGCATTAAACTTAATGCTTACTTATAAGCTTATTATTTTAAAATATTAGAAAAAGGTTAGCTATATTTTTTATATTAAAAAGTTATAAAGAAAATTTTTAAGCATTTTAATTAATAATATATTAAATAAGCGTTTACTTTTTAATTAAATTAAATTTATATTATTTAATATATAATTCTTTAAAATTATATTATTAATTTATTTTATAATATAAAGTTATTTTAAGAATATTAAAAATCTTAATAACTTAAGCTATAAGTAAAAGTTTAATGTAATTTTTTTTAAAGTATTAAATAGCTTAAATAATTAAAAGTATTTTATCTTCTTTAAATAAAAAATATATATCTTTATTATTAATTTCTTATATATTAAGTATTTAAATAAGTAAATTAATGTAAAATTAATATAAAAATTAAAAACGTAATTAACATTAAAAACAGCTTATTTTATTAAAACCTTAATAATTTTTAATTATATTATATTACTTTTAACCCCTTTAAATTAATAAAATTAATTAAAAATAAGGAATTAAATATAATTAACATTAATTAATATTAACTTTTTATTAATTTATTTACCTTAATATAATATTATAATTAATAAAAGTTAAGTAAAGTTAAAAAAATCTGCTACTTAGTAATATCCATTACTTAGTAGTAAACCACGTTAATGCATTCTTAAAAATTTCAGATCAGGAAGGGAATTATAATTAAGCAAGATGGGTATATATCAATTAAGAATATGAAGATTCACATCTGCAAAAACGGAGGGTATACCACAGCTGCAATAGATTAAAGCGTATAACACCCCTCGTGGACAGGTGGACAGTCCACCAACTCCGATTGCGGACAGCAATCACACACTTCTCAAGGACACTTTTAAATATCTATTCAGCTCTTAACTAAACACCTATTCAGCTTTAAACTAAATATTAAATATCATTTCTTAGGAATTTATTTATATAATATAAAAAGAAAGCTCTTTATAAGGCTTTATTTCTTTATTTCCTTTCCTATTTATTTTTAAGAAATAAGAAATTTAAAGTATTTTGGTTTTTAGTTGAGAACTGAACTCCATAGCTCTTAGGGTTAGGGTAGCCAGAGGTGCGCGCCGGAGCACATATTTGCTCTCGGCTGTCCATATCTGTGTCCACCGGTGTGTCCACAACCGGTGCGGGGGTATGATATCCTCTACATATTACCCAGGCCGGATTTACAGCTACACACCTAACGCCTATATACTAAATCTACACACCAAATTCACACGGCTAATTTATACACCCACTGGCAGAGCTAATTAGGTGTGCTAATTAGATATATAAACCAGGTCTGTGAATTCTCACATGGTTGGGTGCTGCGGATGTACTGGTGTACTCTCCGTTTTTGCAAGAGCAAATCTCTGATTTCTTAGTTAAGAGTCTGCTTAAAAGTTATTATTGTCATACCTTGCTGTAAAGGCATTATTTAGCTTACCCCCTATACCCCCCCTGGGCCATGCGAGTCCTTGGGCGTGCAGACAGGATGCACCAGCCCATGCGTGCCTCTTTTACTATGCTAGGTGGTATTGTCTAAAGACAAGAGCACTTGGAGATCCAGACTTAAAATTTAGATACTTGCGATCATCTTATAATAATTGAGAGACCGAGGATAACAAAAGGTTGCATGAAGCCTCCGCGGAACTGCCGAGGAGGAGACCCCGAGTTGGAGACGGCGGGGATGCACGGATATATATAGCCGCCGGACGGCCTATTCCGGACAGTCACCTGAACCAGTTCAGATAGTCGCCTTCAGATTTCCATCATTCAAGTCATAGTCAGCTCTTCTCAATCATGGTTAGACGGATTCTAGTATTTGGTGCCACTGGCAACCAAGGTATAGTTCCTCTCTGACATGCAATGACTCGCTGCTGACAACGCACTTGATGTTTAGGCGGTGCCGTGGCTCGACTCCTCTTCCAGCACCCGAGAAGCTACAGTGTGCGAGCTGTGACTCGCAATCCCAGTTCACATGCGGCTAGAGCCATCGAAGCGCAGGGTGCCGAGGTCATCAAGGCTGACTTGACCGTCCCATCGAGCCTTCCACCAGCATTCGAAGGATGCTGGGGCGTTTTTGGGGTCACCAACTTTTACGACTCGAACATCAAAGATGACCCCAGCAGTGAGGAGCAGCAGGGCAAGAACCTCGTGGATGCGGCTGCTGCTGCCGGGACGGTCGAGTGTCTTGTTTGGTCGACCCTGCCGAGCTCCAAGCAGATATCGGGCGGCCGTTTTGTCAGCCAGATCTATGAGGGCAAGCACCATGTCGACGACCATATCCGACAGCGCAACTTCCCAGCCTGTTTCCTCTACACGGGAAATTTCTATGAAAGTGCGTACAGCTTGTTCCCGGCCGGCAAGGCGAGCAGGTGGCTGATTAACACTGATGAAGATATGATCCTGCGCTCGCACATGAGATACGACCCCGCCATCTCAGACACTATAGAGTTTCAGCAGCCTATTGTCGAAGCCGACACACAACTTGCCATGCTTTTCGTAGAGAAGGACCTCTCGGCCATTGCAAAGGCGGTTTTTGACCAGTGGGACTCCAAGAAAGACCAGCTCATTCACACGTATCTGTACTGCTGTAATGCTAGGGTTTCCCCGAACGAAATTGTGGCCTGTGTGGAGAGGATCACAGGGAAGCCCACGATTTACAAGAAGCTAGAGTCAACAGGATGGAGAGATAGGGATATAATGTTCCAACTGTACAACGAATGTGGTATGTACAGTGGCAAGGAAATCCCCGACCAGAATGTCTTGGCTCTCGGGGTGGACTTACACGGCGTCGAGCATTTTGTGCGGAGCCGACTACTTCCTCATCTGGGGCTGGCCGCCATCGGAAACTGATGGATACATCCACTTACGTTCACCGATCCTACAAAGCTTATATATAACCCTGAGAGCTATACATAAATGCAATTTAAGGGTGTAAAAATGGAGCTTTATAGACTATTTGTATTCTTCAAGTTCCTCTATTAAGCTGGAACGACAATGATTATCCTAGTGGGACAAGAGACAATGTAGGTTGTGGGCAATTGCAGTCAAATTCGCTATGCAAGGCTTTAGACAGTGACTATTCAATCTTCTGCAAACCAGTGTTGTGCCAGAAGCCGCTAATTCGCACCACAAGTCTTAGTGTCAGGCCGTGCCTAGTCTCCGGTGCCATTCGTGCTGGCGCTGTCAAGCCATCGCAGACGAAGCCATCGCGACTTAGCTTGGCACCGTCAAGCACTATGTAGAATGGAGCTTTGTATGAGAAATCATTCAATGCAGTTCCTTGTGCATCTTTTCCCCTAGTTGCAGAGTAGGCTGTAAGCAACGTGATTTGATTTATACAGCTGTTCAGCATCTTTTGTAGTACTGCTGGTAAGGGTCACACTGTGCCTCAGTCTTTAAGGGAAGCTTACTGTTGCGCCATGGTAATGTTGTAAGCTGATGGTCTGGTGTCCCAACAAGTACATCTCTAATTATAAAATCTCATCTGACCAAATCGACTGTGCCGCAAGGAGGCGATGTACCAGGCGGTGTAACCTCCGAGGCACATGGACCATGTCCGATAGTGTGGGTGAAGCAGGGCTGAAGCTGACGGGTTTCAAGGTAATGCCTCATCTGCCCCGGGTCGCTGGTTGGACTTCCTGGCCTCGCCCTCAGCCCTTGACAGCCAACACACAAATGTGTTTGATCAAATCGAGGATGCACCAATGCCGATCGTACTTCCCCTGGTTGAGGTGGACCAGGCGTAAGGCTTGGGGCAAGGTTTCCATCCCACGGTGTGTGACCTTTACCTTTTTCTCTTCTTCTTTTCTTTTCTTGTTCTTTTCCTTCCTTTTTCTTTTCTTTCTTTCTTTCCTTCCTCTTTATATTATTTTGATCAGAACCCCAACTCGGTCCTTTCTATCAGTTTACTTGTCATTTCCAACCTCCTAAAAGCCTGCTCCACTGAGCCTATATCCGTCAACGAAATGTCACCCGGTTTCCAAGAAAGCCTTCTGGGATGTTGTTCCCCCTTTGGCTTATGTTGCGAGGGGTTTTGGTGTCCGTGTATTGTCGTAGGCCGCACAACACATCGTCTCAAGCATGACGGGGACATGCAAAACTACAAGTGCTGCAACGCTGATTGCGGTGCCCTCTGTGCCCTGCATGCTTTTGGTGGCTGGGGCTGGGTGTAGGTCTTCCATCATCATCTATCTGGTCAACACTCACATATTTGTACAGGCTGCAGTGCATCAGGCGTGGTGAAATTCGCGAGAAGAATCACATGGACAAGAGCCCGTGTGGTGACTGTATGGTCTCACTGTGCTGTCACTGTTGTGCAGTCATCCAACAGGAGAAGGAGGTCAAGGCTCGGACTTCAGGCGTGGTGCTACAACCCTCTTTTGAGCCGTGTGTGATACAGTTGACTAAACCCCCCTGCAGAACAAGACAGGGTATCAACAGCAGCCGGGCATGAGCGTGTAGGATGGGCGGCTACCATAGAGGTCCTCTTTCCTTCTGTTGAGAGTGGGGGGGGGGGGCACCATGTCTGCGAGTATAGCCCAACAGGTCAGCGTATCAAACTTTTGTTAGAATAGTACAGCCTTTTCTTGGTAGGGCGTCCACCAGTCTGAACAACACAACAGAGAGGTCCTTTCTAAACAAACCATCTAGCTACTGATATACTTTTTAATAACCACACTTATAGCCGCGCTTTTGAATGTACCTGGCTTTTCTCTAGTGGGGAGGCTGTGAATACGGCTTGTGTTAGCCGACCAGCCAGCCTCTGCAGAGTCCTTTCCTGAGCCGTGACTGTCTTTAACAGGTGGCGACCCTGGCGTCATGAGCCCTTCATACTCGCAGTTTTGTCTTAAGGAGGCACCCAGGCTCCACCTCCCAGCAGTCTCGAGAACTTCGACCCCCTAGCCAACAATTCCTCGAATCCACCTTCCTCAGCCACAAATCCCTCGTCCATGACCACGATCCGGCTCATGATCCTCATCATCTCCCTCGAGTGCGTAATAGCCACAATCGTAAGCTCCTCCTCCCCTTGACCCTGCCTGCTCTGGTCCATCAGACCTTGTATGGCCTTCCTCACGCCCTCAGCACCGTCGGCATCAAGAGAGCTTGTCGGCTCGTCCAAGACAAGCAACTTTGGCTTACGAACAAGTGCTCGCGCGATGCTCAAACGCTGAGCTTGTCCTCCCGAGAGCCCGAGGCCCCCCTCGCCCACAAGCGTGGAGTACCCTCCGGGCAATGAGACAATGAAGTCGTGTATGTGGGCCAGCCTGGCAGCCGCAACAACGGAACTCAACTCGCGGAAGGGCGAGTCTGCGTGCAGACCATAGGCAATGTTCTCGCGGATCGTCGTCGGGAAGAGGAAGGGGTGTTGAGGGACGTAGGCCGTGTGGGCGCGGAGGATAGATGTTGACACGTCCGAGGCGGGCACCCCCGCGTAAGACAAGGCTGCAGGCTGCAGATCTTGTCCTCTCCTGTGGAGGCGATGCGAGGCGTGGTCCTGCATGTTCCCCCTCAGATTCTGGTCCACTGACGGCTCGTACAGCCCTAAAAGGAGATTCGCAATGGTGCTCTTGCCGCACCCTGAAGCACCCACGATACCGACGCAGTCACCACGGTCAATGCGCAGGTTGACATTCCGGAGCACCTTGTGCGGGCCTTCTCGGCTGCCCCTGGCCGCGGGATATGCGAACTGCAGGGCTGTCATCTCGACCGGAAAGGGCGTCAGCACCCTCACCTCGCCTCGTCCCTCATGACTGCTACTGTAACTCAGGGTGGCGTAGTACAGGACCTGGATGGATGTCGCCTTGGCATGGGCAATTTGCGGGATACTGTCCAACATGGCAGTGGCAGTACCTATGCTGAAAAGAAGCAGGTTGATGACCTGCACTATATTCGAGGCGGAGATGGTCGCCCCCGGCGATGTGAGCAGCACGGTTGCGTACCAAAACACGAGTGCCGTGAGCCAGTCAGGCACGCCCTGGTTGAGGCCATAGAAGAAGCCCGTCCACAGGCCCCTCTTCACGCCAACTCGAAAGGTACTCTCGGCTGACTGGGTGTGCTTGGAGCTGAAATGGTGTTCCAAGGTGAGTGCCCTGACCACTCGGATATTCAGGAACGTCTCGACGGACACTGAGCCTGCGGCCTCCGCCATCGCGTTGCATCTCGCCTCCCATTTTCCCGAAACGGAAGCAATTGCCTGCGTCGCGGCGTATACGGCTGGAGCGGACGCAAGCGTGACCAAGGTCAACCTCCACGAGATGACAAGCGCCCAGATCAGGCCGCTGGTCATCATTGTCACAACGATCAGTATGATTGGGACGAAGCGTCCTACAAGGTTGCGCATCTCCTCTGCATCCCTGTCGAGAACCGAGGCCAGGCGACCAGGCGAATGGGATGGGCTATCAAACCACTGCTTCGGCTGAGAGAGGATCCTCTTCAGCGCCTCAACACGCAGAGAGGTGACCCAGGCCTGGCCAGCGAATTGCATCAGGTAAAACGCAGCAAAGGTAGCGCATCCGTCGACAGCACCGACGATAGCCAGGCGGACAGCCCATGTCTGCCCGGCAGCCCTCATCTCGGCGGGCGGTGCCCAGAGTGCGGCTATCAACTGCGCAAAGAGAAAGGAGAAGACCGGATTACAGGTCGCGGCAACCATGCAGGCAGCAATGCCCAGAACGATGCGAGCTCGGTTTGCCCTGTCGAGCATTGGCCACACGGTTGCAAGAATCTGGGCTACGGAGGTATCCTTGCCCACGCCAACAGCGACGGGCTTCTCCTTGTGCTGTTTGCGTTGCTCGTGCCCACTGGGTATCTCTTTGCAGGGGCTGATCACCCCCGAGGCTGTTAGTTCACTATTCTGCGTGGCTCGTGGTGACTTGACGAGGGGCCGGCGAGATTTAGTCATCTCCCCTTGCAAGAGAGCCATGTCTAAGCTCGACTTCCTTGTTCTGTACGGGCTGTGTCCAAGGCTTTCCAGGACCCTCACGCTGATTCTGGGCTCAAGAGGAACAGGTCGGCTGGGCAGCTCAGCATTGGTGCTGGATTTGGGGTCAGGGTATGATTCCCTGCCATGCCTCGGCTCTGCAAGTTTAATGATCGTAGACCGCTGCACGCTGGGCCCCAGTGACAGTCGGAACAGCCCGCGGTTTCCGGTTGAGCCCGGAGACCGCTGTGGGAGGAAGACCTTGGACAGGCGGGAGGGCTCCGCGGTTGTTGTCTCGGGAAGTGACTCTGAAGACGAGTGCATCGTTGAGTCCTCGGCCGGCTCAAAGTCAGTCGACGACAGCAGCGATGCGAAGATGCCGTCCTCGTCTTTGACTAGATCTCTTCGCATTCCTTGCTGCACCAGGAAGCTCTGGTCGAGGACATAAACATAATCGTTATCGAGTATCTGAGACACGTCGTGCGTGATGATAATCGTTGTCTTTCCGGCTCGCCATACTCTGATTGCCTCAAGGATGAGAACTCTGCTGATAGCGTCAAGACCACTGGTGACCTCGTCGAGAATCAATACGGCCGGGTCCCTTAGGCGGGCTCGAGCCAGGGCGAGTCGCTGTCTCTGCCCTCCACTGAGGTTATGGCCCCCGATCCCGACATTGGTGTCGAGCCCTTCAGGCAGACTCGCGACGGTGGATTGAAGCAACACCGTCTCGCATGCGGCCCTGACCTCTTCCCTGGTGACACGGAACGGATACCGCGAGCCAAAGGCGACGTTCATGAAGAATGTGTCATTGAACAATATGCTCGACTGCTGGATCAAGGTGACATTCTCGCGAAGCCACTTATCATCCAGAGTCCGGATGGACTGTCCGTCGATGAGGATGCTTCCGGTGAGAGGTTCGTAGAATTTGAGAAGCAGGTTGGTGATGGTGCTCTTGCCTGATCCGCTTCTTCCGACCAGGAATGTGAGACCAGGGTTGAAGGAAAACGAGGAGCGATTGAGGACGATCTTTGTCGGATCTAGTACATGTGTCAGCAGCCCTGCTACAGAGCCTAAAGTGATGCGTTCGGAGAAGATTCAAGATACCCATAGCGCGCAGTATAGGTTTAGTGAAGTTGGTGTTTTGTACGGTCCCTTTGGAGAAGGACTAATACCGAATATCAGTTTGAGGGAAGAAGAAAGTTGAGGGGCAAAATCAAAAAAAAAAAAAAAAAAAAAAAAAAGGGGAAAGAAAGGAAAGGAAAAAAAAGGGGGGGGGGGAGAGAAGGAAGAGAGACTGGCAATTAAAAAAGGAAAGCAAGCGGGCAAAGGGAGAAGGGGAAGGGAAAACAACAACAATGAAAAAAAGACTTGCGCCCTTAGGTGGCAAATGTGAATTTCTTCGAGGGAAAGACTTTACGTACTGGACGGATAAGCAAAGCTCACATCGTGAAGCTCGATTTGCCCGGCGCAGCTCTGTGGCCGGTGAGGTGCCGGAACTTTCACCCCACGCGTGTTCCTGTCCTGTGCCACGACGTTCTGAAGCTGGTGGCCGGCCGACATGCCCTTAGCCAAAACAAGCCACTGCGGCGCTACACCCTCGACAGACTGGAAGGCCGTCAGGATGGAGTAAAACGTCGTCAGGGCTGTTCCCGGCGTGACGGTGTTTTTGCTCACGAGGTATCCCGCAAACCAGAACCCAACGACGAAGAGATTGACGACCCACAGCTTCAGAAAGCCCATCTGCATGGCGTTCCGTAGCGCCTGCCGAACATAGTACCGCATAGATTCCCTCGCCGCTTGTAGGTACTGCCAGACTTCATGGTCGAAGCCGTTGTAGATCTTGACCAGGTCTATGGCTGTCACGGCGGCAATGACGACCTTGGATGCCTGAGCGAGCTCATGATTCTGTGAAACAATAGCTGCCTCGAGGCCGCGGCTGATGAAGTGCAGGGCAAGTACGGACACGGGGATGGTCGCCATCAGGACAAGTGTCAGCTGCCAGCTATTGTAGAATGCGACGATGAGGCAGCCAACGGCGACGAAGGTGTCAGCAATCAAAAACCCCAAGACTTGTGAGGTTGCCATCTGGAGCTCTCGGATATGGCTGCCGGCACGTCAGTGGGCGAAGGATCAATTGCGAGAACAAAGCGCTTACGTCTGCATCCCGGACAGGGCACTGCTGAGGCCCTCGTCATGGCCGTCGAACCAACCCATCTCCCTGTACAGCAAGTGCTCAAACACGCACTTCCTTGCAGTATTTGCGACCAGCTCGCCGAAGACAACCCACAGGACCATGAGGGCCGAGTTGAAACCCCACGAGGCCAGACCAAGACCAGCCAGCACAACACACCAGATCGTCACCCCAGCCATGGCTGTGCTTCCATCGATGCTGCCCGCGCCAAGGGGGCTGACAATGTCCATGATCCTGCCGATGAGGACAGCGAATACCGTTTTGACTGCAGCAACAAGCAGGGAAGCGACCATGGCAAGGCCAAGGAGGCGGGCTTGACGGCGCTGAGTGAAGACGAAGAGGTGCTTCCACGTGGCGCCACCAGCAGCATTCCGGGCACTGCCTGGCTCATTGACGTGGGATCTGTCTGGTGAGGCCCCAGACATGGCAGGCTTGACTGTTGCATCCTTCGTCAAGCGTTGAAGTCGGAGTCCTCGTCGCGAGCCCATTTTTGTCCGTGCCGCCTGTGCACGTGAGTTTCATCAAAATGTGCCTGGTCAATGTGGAATTGGTTTTGGCATGTGAAAAGAACTTGCATTGGCCAGATACCACATGGCGCGAGACGGCGGAGTGCAGATTTGTACTCGAACAAGTCGTGAACATTCTTCATGTTAACATTGCAGGAGAATGATCAACCACCCAGGTTACATACAATTTATTGCAAAGAAGGAACAGTACAGAATGGGAATATGATGGTAGATAATGCGAAGCTGACAATGCTGCCTGCTATCTTTGTGCGGTCGTGGCTAGGATTGTGCTCAAATGGACAATACCAAGGTCAACAACAGTTGCACGAATGCGGAACCACACACACACCCCCCCCCCAGAAGTCCACACGGCAGAAAAGCTCCTAGAGGAGTGCTTCCACGAGCTGGGATCGCTCCCATCCCGATCCAAAAGGACACTCATTGGCTCAATCTGGATTGGAAGCGTTCGTTGAGCAGACTTTGCTCGCGAACGCGGGTCTGTGAAGTTTGCATGGCCGATGAGTGTCGGTATCTCACTCCACTTCAGGGATACAAGGTGTAGAAAGTTTCAGGGACAACACACTGAAAGAGGTTATGCCGCAGGAGTATATTCAACAGGAGACTATCCAACAAGAGGCTGTCTCACAGCAGGTCACCCTATTGTGGGCTGTCCCATAGCAGGCTATCCCATGATAGGTTATTTCATAGTAGGTCATCCTATAGTAGGATATTTTATGGCAGGTTACCTACAAGTATCATACCACTGAAGATTGTACTGTGCGAGGCCATCCTGTAGCAGGCCATCTAAGAGGGCGACTGGGAGTCGTACCCCTGCAATCCCCTGCCTGGCCAAGCCCCGGGTAGGGCAGGGGGCACACGGCCTGACTCCATAATGAGAACTACATGCTTGGTGGCACTTGTCCTGATGGGGTTGTGGTTTCCGGGCTAGCTGCGGTCTCGATGAGCGGCTGGGGACCAAACCCCACTGCTACTTGATCATTTCGCGGGGGAACTTGCTCTCTTGCAGTACAAATGCCAGCCAGCAGACCCGGAAAGATGGGGTCGGTAGCGGGAACTTGACTCGGAAAGTCGATCGTCATATCGCGAGGGGGCAACCGTTGCGGGCTTGCGTGTTATAAGATGGGGGGCTTCGGCGCCTCTTGTCCTGTCGGAGGTGGGTGGCGTGGTACCTACCGTCCCTGTCTGATTGTCAAGCAGCGAAGCACCTACGCAAGCCAACATGAGGCCGCCGTTTTACCTCGCAGCCAGCGCTTGCGCCCTCTTGTGGCCAGGCATCGAGGCGGCAGCGACGCCCTGCTCGATCGAGGCTCTGCAGGCTGCCCTGCCTTCGGACGCGAGCGTCCTTGTGGCCGAGCAAGTTGCCAGTGGTGGCTCCTTCGGCGAAGGGGCAGCGGATATCCCGTATCCCAGAGACCCTACCAACCTCCCCGAGACTTGTGCCGTCATCGTCAACGTGACAAGCTCGGCGTCGTCGAGTTTCCGCTTCAGCGTGTTCTTGCCCACGCAGTGGAACGGGCGGTTCCTGCAGGTTGGCAACGGCGGGTTTGCTGGAGGCATCAACTTCCTGGACATGGGCGCCGGCGTGCGTTACGGCTTCGCGGTGGCGTCCACCGACACTGGGCATAATTCGAGCACCTCGGACCTGACGTGGGCACTGCGCCAGCCCGAGAAGCGGTTGGACTTCGGCTACCGCGCAATCCACGGCTCGGTGGTGCTCGGCAAGGCCCTGACAGAGGCCTTCTACGGCCAGGCAATCCGGTTTTCATACTACTCTGGCGCTTCGACCGGGGGTAGGCAGGGGCTACGGGAAGCCCAGTACGACCCCGAGTCCTTCGACGGGTTGCTGATTGGAGCACCCGCCTGGTGGACCAGCCATCTTCAGCCGTGGACAACCAAGATGGGCTCTTACAACCTGCCCACCGACGCAGCCGGGCACATAGCCCCGTCACTATTCAAGACGATCGGCGCCGAGGCGATCCGGCAGTGCGACTCTCTGGACGGGGTCCAAGACGGCATCATCAGCTCGCCAGAGCTGTGTGAGTTCGACGCGGACGCCCTGCTGTGCGGGTCCGCCCGGGCGAATGCCTCGTCGTGTCTGACGGGAGCTCAGCTAGCCACGCTGGACAGCATCTACGCCGACTACCATGCTGAGGGACGGTTCGCGTTCCCGGGCCTGGAGGTCGGCTCGGAGGCGCAGTGGGGTGTTTTGCTCGGAGGATCCTCGCCCAGTCCCCTGGGGGACGGATATTCGCAGTACTTTGTGCTGGACGACCCGGACTGGACGTGGAGGCAGTACAACGACAGCATCGTCTGGCAGGCGGACGCTGAAGACCCGGGCAACTGCACGGCGGACCACTACGAGGCCATGAGGGCAGTCATGGAGAGGGGCAGCAAGATCGTCATGTTCCATGGGTCGTCCGACGCCCTGATCGCAACCAGGTCCTCCAACGTGCTGTACAGCCGCGTGGCAGGAGCCCTGGGAGGGTATGACCAGCTGCAGAGCTGGTTCCGGTATTTTGTTGTGCCTGGTCTGCAGCACGTGACGGGGACGTCAAACGACGCTCCGTGGTACTTTGCAGGGCCGAACTCGGCCGCCTCTCTAGGGACCGATATCTACTCAACCCCGGGATTCACAGACCCGGAGCATGATGCCCTCCTGGCCTTGATGAGGTGGGTTGAGGATGGTGTGTCGGTAGACCAGATTATTGCGACCACGTGGCACAACTCGACGGACCCGGCGTCGGGTGTCTTGAGGCAGCGGCCGTTGTGTCCCTTCCCCAACAAGGCTGTCTATGACGGCAAGGGAGATGTGGACGACGCAAAGAGCTGGACCTGCTCAGGGCGAGGGCATGTGCAGCTTGTGTAAGCTTGGTGGAGGGGGGTTGTTGACTCGCGCCGTGGGGGTGATTTAGATTGGCCTGTCTGTACACATCGGCACATGCCTACACATCTACATAAAACTTTACTCCCTAGGCTGCAATGTACATATAGTCGGACACTACTGAAGTCACGCCCCGTCTCGTGACATCCATCTCAAGGCAGTTTCTGAAGGCCTATGGCAAATGAACTCCTTGCTCTGATCCTGTTGCCAAAGAACACAAGCACCCACGGCACAAAGGTCAGCCCAAGGGCAATACCACCGAGCAGTCCGCCAGCTCTCTCGATCCCTAGGTTTTCGAACAAAGGCAGGGTCACCAAGGGGAAGACACCGCCCAGGAGGTTGCGACAACACGACTGGGCAGCCAAGGCGGACGATGCGTAGCCCTGGTAAAAGTCTGCGAGATAATTGAAGGTTGCGAGATAAACGCTGTAGATGCCCATGCTGGCAAGGCAAAGGGCGACAGCTGGGGAGATCCAATGGATGGTCTCCCTGGAGGTGAAGCCGAAGATGAACAATCCGAGCGGCAGCAGGCTGGCTGTGAGGCAGGTGAAGTAGAGGCGGGACTCGGGCGCCTCGACGGGGAAGTGACGTCTCAGAACAGAGTAGAGCCTGCTTTCCTCGCCGCATGGAGAGTCGTTGGGATCCCAGTTGTCAGCCTTCCACTGCGGGTGCTTCAGCAGATCGTCCTGAAAGACTCCGATGACTGTTGACAACACCCCGCCGATCATGATAGCTGTGAACATGTAGCCGGTGCTTTCGGTGTCCCATCCATACACGGTCTTGAAGACGTAGGGGACCGATGAGAAGGTCAGGTAGAGCACAGCCCACGCGAACGACACCCAGGCTGAGAACCAGAAGACCACTGGTTCGGTCCATAGTAGATGAAAGGGCCGATACAGCGAGACGGATATCATCCGGCCCACGGTGGCGCGATCGCTGTCGGACTTGACGAGCCATCGGAGACGTACGTTGGCCACCATGTCTGCGGTCGAGCCCGTGGTCGAGCCCGTGGTCGAGCCCGTGGTCGAGCCCGCAGGGGCTGTTGCTGTTCTCTTCTCTTCATCTTCAGGCCCTGCCGCTTGACCTGCGTTGTCGCTGTCACTCGCCACGCCTTCGGCGCCTGAGAGGGGCCCCGGCTCAAGCAGCCAGACGCCGTAGTATCCGGCCTCTTCCCTGGCCTCATACCATTTGTTTAGGACCTTTGCTTTGCGGCTGAGAACTATACTGCCCCTGCTTTCCTTGAACAGCGTGACAATGAGAGCCACAAGCACCCCGCCTGCGATAGCTTGGTGCCAGAAGACCCACCTCCATGCGTCCCCATCATCCGCCAGCCGGGAGGTCATTACTGATGCGACCAAGGGACCGAGCCCCGTACCCACTACTGTGTGTTAGTAATGTCCCGCCATGGAGCCTAAAGCGATGCGTGCTGTGGAAAACCCAAAACATGGCGGGCGGGGACCTGCAAAAGGAGAAGGCGTGTGCTTACCAAGGACCGAGCCACTGAACACAGCCATGGGCGTGTTCCTCCCTTCCTTGTCCCACAGGTCAGCAATGATGCCACCAATCATGGTGCTGAAGACACTGCCGCCAACCCCGACCAGGAACCGACAGGCCAGCATCCCAGCCAGGTTGGTGACGAAGCCACACGCCAGTTGGAACACGACAAAAACCACGCCTGAGACGGAAAAGACAGGATACCGGCCATTGATCTCGCTGAACGGCGCGAGAACCATGGGTGCCAAGGCAAATCCCACGCAGAAGGTCGTTATCCCGGCCACGACGGCGGTCCTGGAGGCGTGGAACTCGGCCTCCATAATCACCACCGGGGGCGAGTACGAGCCGGCGCAGTATGCCGTGAGGAGTGTAGCAACACAGCAAAGAACCATGTGGTAGGCCTTGCGATGGGTGGGCCACTTCGTCGGGTCCGTGTACTCGAGCAGGTTCGGTTGGGCGGGAGCGCCTGAGGCCGGCGGTGCGCACGTGTGAACCGTGTTCGGCGGTGGCAGAAGCGTGTCGAACGTCAGGTCTGCCGTCTGTCAATCTTCTGGCTCGGGGTCTGGGCCCGGGCGGGATTTCCCGGGGTATTTCTTATGGGGGGGGGGGGGGGGGAAGGGCACCGCATCACGGTCGAGTGTCTACGTACAGCGATAGGTGATGGGCGACGAGGCGTTGGGAGGCCGGCACTGCGATGAGCCCTCGGGCCCTGCCTCCAACCGTTCCTGGCGTGTCTGAACATTTCTTGATGCTGTCCCGGGCGTCGAGGGGCGATCGCCAGGGAGAGGAGATGCTGATACCGTCAGACTTGGGTCCCGACTGGCTGGGCCGCCAAGACCACACAGTCCTGGTGTCGTCATTGTCTTAAGCTTAAAGGTAAGCTTGATCTCTTCGTCAAGGTTTCACCCGGCGGCCACGTCCACAGCACTCAAGATCCCCAAGCGATGTTGGGCTCGCAGGCGACGGGAAAAACGGAAGCTCGGAGGGGCAATGTCCACTTGACTATTCCGGTGGGCGAAAACGAGCAGGCAGGCTTCACCGTCGCTCTTTTAGGGGGCAGAATGGAAACAAGACGACGAGAGGAACGATGGCGACGGCACACCCGACCTCGAAGCTAGCGTTGCATTTGAAGGGGGAGAGGGAGGGGCACGCTCTCAGATGGAGATTTCCATCCTCATTTGGGACCATGATGTGTCCCCGCGGGACGATTCATGTGTACGTGTGGCTGTTTGTGCCCGGGCAAGCCCGCAGGAGGGATGCCCACACGGCTCGCTCGACGCTTATTACCGGTCCTCTGCCCGGATAGGCTGATTGGTCTTTTGGGCAGCCCCAGAGGAAGCGGAGGTGGCAGCTCAGGGGCTGGGAGACGCGAGGCCTACAGTTCGGGATACAGTACGCAGTTGGGACGATTCGTGATGGCGCCGCTACTGCGAACGAAGCCCGGGGACTGCACGGAAATAGCTGGGAATAACCACACAATGTCACGTCGCGGCGCCCATAGGGGAGCTATTTCCCGAAGGATTTACTCATGGGCACCCACTAAGCCACCAGCCTATCGGGTCCAGTCTGCCCGGTACAACCGGGGAGTGTGGGTTGGCCGGGGACAAGACTGCCGCTCGCAGGGATCCTGGACGTCCAGGGCTTGGCCGGTACACTCTTTCATGTGGGATAGTCCCCAATGGTGTAGCCTCATACAATAACGAACTATGGAATGATGGGATTGTGGGATGACGTCCCAGGGTGCAATCTTCTGCAAGACAGCCTCTCATAGGATAACATATTCTAGGATAGCCTCCTATAAGACAACCTCTCACAATATGATAGGATCAAGATAACCTCCCATAGGAAAACCTCCCATCCATAGAACAACCTCCCATAAGTTAGCCTCTCATAAGATAACCTCCCATAGGATAACCTTGCCTCCTTCAGCTGTCCACATAACTTTCTACATTTTATATCATAGGAATAAGACAACTTGTGGGATGGCATATAGATCAATGTGGTCTGTGTTCTGGGCCAACGATGTATTTACGCATACCCTGGAGTACCTGGGTGAGTTCTAGGGCTTTTAACCATTGAGATTGGTATCATCCTGCTTCACACAACAGTGGAATAATGCATCATTGGGATTCATTATTAATGCTTCTCTCCCTTATTGACTTCCCTGATGCACTTCATTAAAGTAGTAGAGGGTAATCATTCCCGTAGCCCACCGGCCAGAACACAACTCCTGATACTAGTAATCAGCTTGCAAGAAGTGTTTGTTGAGCCTCTTCAAAAGTATCCATGGCTAAGAGTTTCCCTGATCAGCTCCATGCGCCAGGGTCAATGTTGGCCTGGTAGGTTTTCTTGCCGAAACGATGGAGAGATCTCTTCGCCGCCAACTCACGAAGGCTTCATGGTGCCTGTGGTATAGCCGGGCCGGCCAGTCCGGCTGCCAAGCGTGCCCAGGCGGGTATCCTAGGCTGGATCGTGTGCTGGATCATGGCCAGTCTCGGCACGAGTCTTGCGGGTGGTGCGTGGCTTGGTCGGCGTCGCGAGGGGCTCGTCCTCGCCGCTCGTAATCATGGCGCCTGGGAGGCCCAACACTGCAGCTGCCTTGACCGGGGTGCCTTTCCGCATCGTTTGCATCATTGGGCTGATCCTGCCGCGAGAGCTGGGAGTGGGGATCGTGAAGGACGCGGTATGAATGCCAGAGCATCTCGATGGGCCGGTGAGGCGAGGTTCCTGGGGATGGACGCAGACATACGAGATGGAGTTGGTGGGTCTAAGGAACGAAAATGGAACTCGGCGCCATTCTTGGTGACAGACACCACGTTGCCCGAGCCCAGCTCCACGAAGAGACCATTCTCGCGGTCATAGTCTACGCCTGGAAAACTGTCAGTAGACGATACTTGCTCTGCCGTATTGAAACGAAGCCACTTACAAACCATAGGTTCGGAATCTGGCAGTGGGGGGTATCGGTGTACTCCGTGATCAATGCCGTAGTCCAGGAAAATTGCATGACCGGGGGCAGCATACGAGTGTCGCGAAGGAGTTTGGCGGTCAATGTGGTAGTGCTTGACGGCATCCGACACGGCGTTCCGCTCTGCCTCTGGCCACATGTTCAGGTGAGTCGCGTACGTCCACTGCTCGCTGAAGCCTACCATGCGAACGGAATCAACCCGGCCGGTGAGCGCCCGCAATGGACTGGCAACCGAAAGCTGGTCCTCGGTAACGTAAGGGACACGATGCGGCAGATCAGCGTGGTGACGAAGGTGGCCAGAATATGGCTTTGCCGCCGAGGGAGGCAAACTCGGGGCCCGGCGATTGTAATTGCGCGGCTGACCGCCGTTGCGCGCAGAGCCGTCCTGACCGGGAACGATGGAGCGAGGCTCATCCTCCTCTCCTCCGATCAGCGGATGCTTGTAGGCGCCCTGGCGCCCCTGTACAGCGTTTGGCTCCTGGCGATATCCGAAGTATCGGCGGCAATGGATGGTCAAACGGCCCATCGAGTTGGCCGAATCACGGGTGAGCATCTCTGCCGTAAACTTGCGAATGAGCCCACTGATGTTTTCAAGGCTGGCGTCCATGGCGGTTGACTCCCAGCTGTGGCCAAAACCGAGCTTGGTCATGTCTATCTCAAGGCTGACGTCCTGCATCAGGTGCAGGTAGCGGAAGAGCCACGTGGTGGGCAAAGGCTGCGTGCATTCTTTTACCCAGGGACTGAAGATGACGTGAAACTTGCGAGTCAACAACAACACGACCATGACTTCAGCTCGGAGACGTGGGCACGCCCACATGGTTGCCTGCAGAGGTTTGAATACAGAGCCCAGGCTGACGAAGGCGTCAGCTGGCCAAGCTGGGGATGCCTGGCGTTGTCTGTTCAGCAGAATTGGCTTGCCGGTGTCGGTGTCAGCAACAAGGTGCCGCATAACCTCGAAACGAATCTTGTTTGGCAGGTCGAAGTACGGGAATCTCTTCTTCCCATTGTGCTTCTTGAAGGGGCGGCCCTTGGCATACTGTGCAACGAACAGGGTCAAGACGTGCTCGAACCTCCCAGAAGGCCTGGGTATGGAACAAATGATCGTTCCTCTCTCTTTCCTTGCCGTCCTGTACCATGTCAGGTCGACGGTGCGATCGAAAGCTGCAAAGGGGTCAATGTCTTGGTGTGTATCTGCAGTGATTGTGGCCTGTGACTCCTCTTTCACAAGCCTTGCTTTGCTTGCAGTCCCTGTGACGGATAAGGCTGGTGGTCTTGGCAGCCCAGGAACACCGAGGGGGAGGACAGGGATGCTAGGGCTGGGTATGGCAGCGGCATTGGTGTTGATCTGTAGTCCCAATCTGTCTTGTATCTCCAAGTCGTCTTGGATAACTGGGTGGTCAATCAAGGGAGGAGGCTCGACCTTGTATGGTGCCGTAGGTGGAGTTGCGAGGGCACCTTTGGCGTCATGTGTACCATGATGCTCTGTTTGCATTGGAAGTAAAAAGTCACCTGACTGAGCAGAGATGGAGATGCGGTCCGACTTCTGATACGAGCTCCGGCCTGAATTATGAGAGCCTCGACCGGGCTTGAGCGAACTTCGAGCAGCGTTGTAAACATCATCAAAGATGTCAGACAGGGAAAGGCGCTCGGTATCCTGTGAGGCTGTAAGCGAGAGGGGCTGGTAAGTCGTGCTGGCCGTAGCATCTGCCGGTCGTGCTGGCTGGTCGTTGGAGAAAAACCTTGAGATTTTCTTTCGCAGGCCTTTGCCTTTCTTTTGGTCGAAATGCTGCTCTGTGGTCTCCTCTATACTCCTCTTCGTGTCTCCCTTCCCGAACCCCTGCTCGCTGCCATCTACCTGGCCCGCCATGCTGGCAGCTGACTTCTTGATGGGGTCACGTCGCTTCACCGGCGAAGGAAATGGAAGCTGAGGAAGAGGCCGGTTGGGCGGGGGTTGTTGTGGAAGAAGCGGGCCGATGAAAGGCTGAAGTTTCTCTGGGTCTATCTCTTTGGAGGAAATGGTGCTAAGTGGGCCTGAGGGGATGCTTCGCAAAGTTCCCTCTCGAAGGAGAGGTGCAGTCGTGAGTGATGATGAAGGGCTGACAGTCGAAGATGTCAAGGAGATAGGGATCTCTGTCAGCACAGACAGTTCGGGCTTGGGCAGTTTCCTGAGTGCTTCAGGGCTGCCAGCCTTCTCGGCAAGGGCCTGTCCCCGGCGCTCACGGAGAGTAGTGGCAGATTTTCTACAAGTGTCAGTGGTGACATCAAACTCCGGAGTCTGCTAAGATGGTACTCACATGATGTCTGGAAAAGGTTTGTGGGACAAGGACTGAGTGACTTTGTGGGCAAACCTCGAGACCGGAGACTCGGGGCCAGACTTGTCAGACTTGTCATTGAGCACTGTCCTAGGAGCACTGAAGTCACCCAAAGCTTTTGAAGTCCCATGAAGAAAGTCGTGGTAGTCGAGAGAGCCTAGAAAGGCTGGATTGGGCTCCTCTTGACCGTCAGACTCACCCACACCTTCTGAGGGGCCCAATTCAGCCCCCATGGTCCAAGACCTGCAAGAGAGTGACCGCAACAATGCTCTCGAGTCTGCAGAATGGAACCCGAAGGCTGTTGCTGACTGTCGGCTGGAATAGCTTGGTTGGTGCAGCAGCAGCTGGGTCTGCCTGGTGAGAGAGGTATGCCCAGGCGAAGGCAGCGGGGTTGAGGATTCAACCTGGACTTTGTGATACTCGGTATGGCACGCCGTCCCAGACGGCAGGCGAGGTAAGCAACAGTTGGGGTAGAAGTAGTGATGTTGGTGCGAGGCAAAGTGAATTGCTGGGTGCTCAGGTCTCCCCTTCACATCGCCCACACAAACAACCTTGGGTATCGGAGCTATCAGACGCCCGCCCTTTACACTGCCTTGGCCCCTAGTGGTCTTCAAACTGCCTGTCCTCGCGCTCTCGCCCTTGTTCTTGTTCTCTCTGCTCCTATGAGGCCCGCCATGGAAGATCCGGGTCTCATTGGAATGCCATCTCCGGTGTCCTTTCTTCAGCCGAGCCCTCTCTTCTCCTTTAGTGGCCGTCACCCGCGGGGTCACAGAGTGCAGAGAGTGCCTCTGAGGGCCTGGGTTGCTTGCGTCCTGCAGCCTCCTTACACCTGGGTGTGGGAATACCCAGCTCTCGATTTCATACTGGGTTGGTGTGGGTGAGAAGGTGTGCATTGCTTGACCTTGGCCAGAGAAATATCAGAGGAAAGGGCTACCCAGCAAGCAGTGCGGAAAACTCGTGGAGTCCGTTAGGCTGCGAGGGCCTGTGTCCATTGCATAGGTGAAATGGCATTTGGCACAGAAAGGGAGAATGTCCAAGCTGCAGATATGGCAGCAGCACTAATATTGAGGCTCTGTCACTTGAGGGCTTCAAATTTGTTTCTTGAGCTGTCGTCATGGCAAGGACGGGTAGAGGCACAGTCAGTAGCCTGACCAGCTTCTCCTCTTCCCACTAGGGACATGACACCGCTCTTTTCTTCTTGCATGAACCTGATGACAATGATGTGTGCTTGTTCAGCTAGGAGAGGAAGGGGTGACCTTGGCTGGCCTGGTGGTCGTCACTGGGGTTGGGGGGGGGGAGGGACGGTGAGCTAGAGCTCCGAGAACCGAACTGAATTTCAACAGACGGCCACAGCTGCAGCTAATCAGAGCACATCACCCAGGCCTATTTTCACACTCACACACCCCAACACCTACATGCCCAACCCCTACACACCCAACACCTATACACCTATACCCCATGCACCTAAACCCCATACACCTAAACCCCATACACCTAAACCCCATATACTTAAACACTTAAACTTATATACTTATATCTTATATATTTAAACACTTAATATTTATATATCTTTACCTTATATATTTAAAAACTTAATATTTATATATTAATATTTTATATATTTAATATTAATAGCTTTAAATATAAATATTATTCTTTTTAAATTAATAATTTAAAAAATATAATTATTTTAATTTAATAAAAAAACTTAAAAATTATAAATAATTTTATAAATATTAAATATAACTTTAATTTAATTTTAATTTATTTTATTTAAATTAAGTAATATAATTTATTATTAAATAATATATATTATTAAATAATGTATTTTTATAATATTTATTTAATATAAAAAAATTAATTAAATTTTATATTAATTAATATTAATTATATTATTAAAAATATAATTTTATAATAAATTATTAAAATAAATATATTTATATTAATTAATATTAATTAAGTTAAATTTATTATAATATAATTAAAATTTAATTAATTAAACTTTTTTAATTTTTTTTATAAGTTTTTATATTATATTTAATTTTATTATAATTATTATTATATTTATTTAATTAATTTATTATAAATTAACTTTTTAATATTATTATTTATTTTATTAATTAATTATTCTTTCTTTTATTTTTTTATATAAAAGCTTAAAATTTCTTAATTATTAATACTTTTTTAAGTTATATTTAATTTTTTTAACCCTTTTATATTTAATAAATATTATATTAATATTTTTAAATATAAACTTAATTTTTTTAAATTATAATTTTATATATTATTATTTATATATATTTTATTATATAATTAATAACTTTTATAATTAATATAATAAAGTTACCTTAATAAATAAAAATTTTATTTTTAATAAAACTTAATTATTAAATAATTTATTAAGTATTTAATAATATTTATAGCTTTTATTTTTTACAAAAATAAAAAAAGATTATATTAAAGTTTATAAGCAAATTTTAAGCTTAAAAATTATAAATTTAAATTTAATATTTTTATTATAAAGGTTTTATTATAAGCTACCTTAAATATAAGAAAAAACTTAAATTTAATAATATAATTAATTAAAACTTTAATAAAAAAATTAATTTTATTATTATATATATATTTTAAAATTAAATATAATATAATATTTAATAATTAAAGTAAATAAAATAAATATTATAATATATTAATAATAATAATTTTATTATTTTTATAATATTAATTAAGTTATATAACGTATTAATTATATATTTAATATTTCTTTATAAAGGGTATAAGTTTAAATCTTATTATAATTATTAAACTCTTTTTTAAAGATTTTCCCCTTAATTAAGCTATAAATTATAACTTGCTTATTTATAATTCCTTTAATTAAAAAGTTTATAAAAAATATTTAAAAAACTTTATTAAAGTTAATAAATAATAAATTATAAGTTAATATATTTTAATAAAAAAGCATTAAATATTTTATTATAAAAAATAAAAAGAAATAAATTTATAAATAAAGCTTTAATATAACTTAATTTAATTTATAATAAAACTTTATATTAATAAAAATAATTTTATAATATTATATTAAAATTATTATAATCTTTTAAAAAAAATTTTTTATTAAATAATTATATAAAATTTACTTTTAAATAATAACTTTAATTAAAAATAAATTAATAAAAAATAAAAAAAATAAAAAATAAAGTAAAATTAAACTTATATTTATTTTAATTATAATTAAAAAAATAGCTTTTTTAAAAAAATATATTAATTTTTATTTAACTTTAATATAATTTTTTAAATATAAAAAATTAAGAAAAAAGTTATATATTATATAATTACTTAACTTAAAGTTAATATAATAAAAATATTATTATTATTATTATTATAATATTAATTAAATTTAATTAATATATAACTTTTATAAATATTTATAATTAATTTTTAATTTAATATATTTATAAAAATATTAAATTTATTTTATTATTTATTTATTAATTAAAAATAAACTTAATTTTATTATTTAATTAATAAAATAATAAATACTTTAAATAATAATAAATAATAAAATTTATAATTTATTTATATTAATATATTTAATAATAATTATTTATTTTTAATTATTAAATTAAATTAATTTAACTTTTTTATATTTATTAATATATATAATTATTAATATAATTATAATATTTATTATATAATTAATTTTATTAAAATTATAAAAAGTATTATTAATAATTTAATATTTAATTATTATATTATAAAAAAGCTTAAATTAAGTTTAAATAATCTTTAAATCTTTATAAAAAGCTTTTTAATAATTATAAAAATAATTTAATTTAATTTTAAAATTAAATTATATATATATAAAGTATTAAATTTATTATAAGTTAGCTTAAAGTTATTTATAAAACTTATTTAAATAAGGTTTATATTTAAAATATAAAGAAAAAGGTTTATTTCTTATTTATATTTATATTAAAGCTTATTTTTATAAAGTTAAAGCTTATTAATTAATTATAATAAATAAGGCTTAAATTATAATATATTTTCTTTTTTTAATTTTTTATAATAAGCTTAAAAAAGTATTTATTTAAGAAAAAATAAAAGATATTATAATTTAATTATAAATTAAATATTACTTTTTACTTAATTATTTAATTATATTTTAATATTTTTAAATATATTAAAAGCTTAATTTATTTTTTATAATTAATATATTTTTAACTTTTATAATTTAATATATTAAATAATAATAATAATTATTTAAATATAAATTAATTATTAAATTAATAATATTTTTATAATTCTTTAATATAAATTATTTATATATATTTTTTTATTTAAAGCTTTAAAATTATAAAATTATTATATATTTTATAATTAATTAATATTTAATATATTAATAATTTATTTCTTTAATAAAGTTTTTTTAAGATTAAATATACTTTATAATATTATATTAATTAATATATAATTAATATGCTTTAAATTTAAGTTAATATTAAATTAATTATATTTTAAGCCTTACTTTATAAAAAATTTTATATTTCCTTAAATAAACTTTTTTTTATTAACTTTAATTAATAAAACTTATATTTTTATTTACTTATAATAATTAAAATATTTATATTTATAATAATTAAATTAATTATATATAAAATATTTAATTTTATTTATTAAACTTATTATAATATTAATATTTATTATTTTATTATTTTAAAATTAAATATTATTTTTTTTATTATAATATTAAAAATATTTTTATATTATTATAAAATAAAATAAAAAACTTTAAATATTTTTAATTATTTTTTTAAATTAAATTAAGCTTTTATTATTATTATAAATTAAGCTTTATTTATTATAATTAATTAATAAGCTTTAACTTTATAAAAATAAGCTTTAATATAAATATAAATAAAAAGCAAATTTTTTTCTTTATACTTTAAATATAAACCTTATTTAAATACTTTATAATAAATAACTTAAAGCTAACTTATAATATATATTTAAAGTTTTCTTATATTATAAACTTATAATATAATTATATAAAATTTAATATAATAAAATTTAAAAAGAATAATAATAGCTTATTAAGCTTTTTTTTATTTTAAGAAATTTATATCTTAAAAATACTTAATAATTTAATTAATAAAAATAAAAGCTAAGTTTATAATTAATAAAAAGTAATTAATATTAAAAGGGCTTAATTTTTTTATATATTTAATTAATTAAAAACTTTTTATAATTAATATTTCTTTTATATTAATTTTATAAAAATATATTAAAGATAATTAAAAAGATTTTTAAAAAAAATTTACTTTATGCTTAAAAACCTTTTTAAGTAAAGGTATATTAAGCTTAGCTTAATTATATTATAATAATATTATAAAAAGAAAATAATAAAAATTTTTACTTAATTTAATTAATTAACTTATATAATAAAAGCTTAAAATTAATTAAATAAATATAAAATATTATTAATAATTAATAACTTAATTTTTATAATAAAAGTTTAGCTTAATTATAAAAAATAATTAAATATATTTAAAGCTTTTTATTTTACTTTATAATAATATAAAAATATTTTTAATATTATAATAAAAAAAATAATACTTAATTTAAAATAATAATAAAATAATAAATATTAATATTATAATATTTTTTTAAATAAAATTAAATATTTTATATATAATTAATTTAATTATTATAAATATAATTATTTTAATTATTATAAGTAAATAAAAATATAAGTTTTATTAATTAAAGTTAATAAAAAAAAGTTTATTTAAGGAAATATAATTTTTTTTATAAAATAAACCTTAAAAGTAATATTAACTTAATATTAATTTAAGCTTATAATAAGCTAATTATATATTAATTAATTTAATATTAT